TTGTGCATTGTGTGCCACAATCGCAGACTTTTTGAATAAGAGTTTTCCATTTCCTAGATGCATGTTTGCCATTGGCCTCTATAAGAAGCTCCTCCACTCTTTGCCAACTCTTCAGGTTAGTTTGATTTTAATTTTCTTTCACCTAGACTGGTTGGCAACCAAGGCTATAAGGGCCCAGTCTGTCATACTATTTACCATAATTATGGAAAGAGTAGAGATGGTTTCATACCTTTTCCAAGAGTATTTGCATGTAAGTGAATGCAACAGGAATTCGATCTTGGCTCTCCAATTTCTCATTCTGAGCCATTATCCAATCCACATGTCCAAGTTTATAGTACTTCATATTTTCAAGTGGTCAACTATCTAGGTACTGACCAGGCTCAACATTGCTTGTTTCGACATGACATGGCCATAGACACACATTTATACAAGTGTGTGTGTGTGTGTGTGTGTGTGTGTGTGTGTGTGTGTGTGTGTGTGTTTATAGAAGGCGGCTATCTCTTCAACATTGAACTGAGTGGTCATGGATCCAGAAAGACATGTGTAAAATGAAATAAAAAGGATTAAATAGACAGAAAAATTCATTGTTTCCTGGTAAGAGCTGTAAAAACTAAAAGAGACTGCCTCCTTTGTAAAATGCTTGCTCCTACAAATCTTGTTTTTAGTACATTTCTTTTATAATCTTTAAGTCTTTTAAAAGGCACTGTTGTCACATTTTATTACAAGCTGCTAGTCCCATAAAGGTATTGTTCATGTATTATCAGCTACTATTCCCTCAAAAAGTGCTATTGTCACAAGCTATCAGGCCATTAAAAGTGTTGTTGGCACAACCTATCAGTCTCTAAAAGCACTTTTGTCACAAGCTATTGTTGGGGACGTGCAGAATTTATTAATTATGCTTGAAAGAATCAGAAGGAATTTGTGTAGGTTGCGTGACTTTCTGCATCCACAACAAATAAACGAAATTTAAAATACGGTTAAGAATGAGACATATTCAATTAGAAATTAATATAACATTTATATACAATTCAAAACAATATACAAACAGGATAATTGATATATGTTATGTTGGCGAAATGTGTATGAGGTTTTTTGATTTCAGAATGTCTCTTTGTAATTGTTCGTTCATTAAAAGTTCATTTTAAAGTTTGTGTTGATATTAATAATTGTCGATATTAAGTGTCTTTTTTAGAAGGAGTTTTTAAGAGTGATCTACCTTTCACTGTAACGTAATGTTTTTTAAGGTCGTTCGCACGTTGATGTTTACTTAATAGGTAGCGAATATAATTCACTTTAGATAAGCAATGTTGAGAATTGATATCCACAGAGTTGATTAAGTTTTCAATCGGGAATAAGTCAGCGATGATGTATCTTTGCGCAGAAAAATCGTAATTTCGAGTGACGTGGAGTATTTTGGCATGTTCTCTGTGGGTGTTCGTTACTGACTGCCTGGGGTGGTCAGCGTTTATTTTTATAAGGCCTGAAAGTCTGAAGGTGGCTCACTTGAGTTTTGGTGCAATTTCGTTCTGCACATGAACTTTTAGTGATGAACCAATGAGATTGTTTGTTTCACTTAGTGCAGCTTTAATTGGTTGAAGTTTTTCATACGTAGGTGTAAGATAGACTGTTCTGTTGCTAGGGTTGAAAGGTAAGGAAAAAAGGACGAGCCTACACTATCATTCCCTTAAGTTACTGTTGCTGATATGTTACAAGCCATTAGTTCATTCAAGATTATGTCACATTCTCAATTTTCTAAAAATTCCACCAAAATGGTCGAGATATTAGTAAAAATCCTTTTAGAACTGAATAAATTGCTTAAAATGTTCATGCTTGAAGTGAACATCTTAATTGTACAACTTTGTTAAATGAGCAACTTTACCATAGCCTGTATTTAAAAGCTGATGGTTTTCTACATTATACATGAAGACATTTAGGCTGGAATAAATTTACTATATTACAGACAGAAACCAGTTCATGGTTCAGGACAATCAAGTTTATTATTGTAATCTCACACTCTTTAAAATTGAGAGATGGCCGAGAAAAAAAAATCAGATTATAAATATAAATTTAGCAATTTCAAGTACGCATTTCAAACTTCCAATCATTACCTTCAAACACAAATTTATTCCAATCATTACCTTCAAACACAAATTTATTCCAATCATTACCTTCAAACACAAATTTATTCCAATCATTACCTTCAAACACAAATTTATTCCAATCATTACCTTCAAACACAAATTTATTCCAATCATTACCTTCAAACACAAATTTATTCCAATCATTACAAATTTATTCCAATCATTACCTTCAAACACAAATTTATTCCAATCATTACCTCAAACACAAATTTATTCCAATCATTACTTCAAACACAAATTTATTCCAATCATTACCTTCAAACACAAATTTATTCCAATCATTACCTTCAAACACAAATTTATTTCAAACAAACAAATTTATTCCAATCATTACCTTCAAACACAAATTTATTCCAATCATTACCTTCAAAACTTCAAACACAAATTTATTCCAATCATTACCTTCAAACACAAATTTATTCCAATCATTACCTTACCTTCAAACACAAATTTATTCCAATCATTACCTTCAAACACAAATTTATTCCAATCATTACCTTCAAACAAATTTATTCCAAATTTATTCCAATCATTACCTTCAAACACAAATTTATTCCAATCATTACCTTCAAACACAAATTTATTCCAATCATTACCTTCAAACACAAATTTATTCCAATCATTACCTTCAAACACAAATTTATTCCAATTTACCTTCAAACACAAATTTATTCCAATCATTACCTTCAAACACAAATTTATTCCAATCATTACCTTCAAACACAAATTTATTCCAATCATTACCTTCAAACACAAATTTATTCCAATCATTACCTTCAAACACAAATTTATTCCAATCATTACCTTCAAACACAAATTTATTCCAATCATTACCTTCATTATGAGTTAGTCTGGCACAGGTCCACAAGTATGAGGCACTCAAGATCAACCTCACTATAATAGTAACTGAATACAAAGCTTGGTAACCACTGCTCTATAGTGAAGTGAGATTATTGTATTTCTACTATTTTTGATTCTATTTCATCATTATATGACTTTCTATTTGAACTAGTATAAACATCTTGGTTATTATACCCACAATGCATCAGCCATTACACATTCAGCTTCCTTCAGATGTCTGTCATGACAGCCAAAACATTCTGAGTGTAACAACCAAGATGTATGTTGTAGACACCATTAGAAGTGTACAAATGTGGGTATTATAATTATTCTGCTAATGAATTATGGAGTCCAAACAAGGCATGATACCAAGTGTTGGCTTATTCCATTTCTAATGTGGGGATATTGAATATCCTCCAATCTATAACTTCATAGATCAGGATAACCTGATAGAAAGCACTACCTCCCTCCATGGGCAGCACAGTGACTGACCCCAGGTCTTTAATTTTCATTTGAGAATTGTCTGTAACAGTGGCACTATCTCAAATCACATCCAATAGAGGAGATTCTAAACATATTCAGCAGGTCAGTTCAATGTTCTTTATATTCCATAGGATCCTTCACCCTTAGGTTTTATGGGATACACGCTTGGGCAATTATATCTACTTTCAATTCATGCATGACTTAGAATTCCCACAGAAGGCTGCTTGTTCCATTTTATAACAAACTGATTACCAAATAAGGCTATAGGACCCAATCTGCCCTGCTATTTAACCCATAGCTGGAGTGGAAAAAGATTTATACCTTTTCCCAAGGGTATTTGCACACAAGTGAATGTAACAAACTACTGGAATTCAAACTTAGTTCTGATTTATTTCAAACCATTATCCATTATACCAGCCACGCATCTAAGCTTACAGCACCTAATATTCCCAAGTGATCACCTTCCATAGGTTATGAAAGCAAACAAACCAACTCAAGTGCCCCTGTTAACACCATACACCAGATAATGCCACTGCTAATTGAACCCTGGGAAACAGGTAATGTGTGACTTGTCAGATGAGTCAGTTATAATTGTTCCCGAGGTTGAGTGTAAACCCCATGAGGTTATGGATTCAAGTTATCAATAAAGCAAGCTGGTGGTAGCTCCATAATGGTATGAAGTGTGTTCATATAGTATAGGTTGGATCTGCTGGTTCACCTAAATATGTCATTGAGTTGTGACAAAACTGCACTAATTCCTGACCATTTGTAGACTTCATGAATCCAAACAATGATGGGTTATTCTAGCAAGATAATGCATCATTTTATCAGGCCCAAGTGGCCCAGAATTCATTTCAGGAGCATCCTGGAGACTTCTGATGAATGGCCATTAGGTTTAACCTGACATGAATGTAATTGAGCCTTTATGGGATGTGGTGGAGAGGTCTCTTCACAAGCAAGATTACAAATAAGAAACTGAACAGATTTGAGATCACATGGCTTAACATCTCTACAAAGATGTTCTGATTACATGTGGAATTGATGCTACATTAAATTCTTGCACTTTACATGATACTAGGCACTTATCCCATGATATGTGGCACGTCAGAGTATATAAGTGTTATAAGAGAAAAAACATTTACTAATGTTATCCAATTGATGCATTTCTATTTAACTATACAAATGATTAATACAGGTCTTATTTTTAACTAAGAATAAATTATGTTTGATCTTTGCATTGATGATAAATTACAGAAATCTCATTTACCAATATTTATTCATCACTTCATTTTAATTGGTTAGTGCTTGTTCTACATTCTCATACCAAAATTAAACAATTGGATAGACAGCTATATTTTTGAAGTAAACTGTTTCTCTACAATATATTTACTCAAACTTTAACAGAAGTTCTAGGAAAAGAGGAAAAAGATCATTTTCCAGGTAGGGTGAGTGGAGGTCTATATAAGAAAAAAAGTCAGCAGTCCCGACTGGCTTTTACTTGTAGTCATACACTGACCATTGGTGCCAGTTGGAAATATGTATCTCACCCAAGCTGTTCATGCCCTTTTCAAGCTTAGCTTGGAACAAGTCCACAATTACGAGGTACTCAAGATCAACCTCACTACAATAGTAACCAAATGCAAAACTTGGTAACCACTGCTCTATAGGAAAGTAATATTTTTGCATTTCTGGTATTCTTAATTCTATTGTATCATTGACTTTCAATTTGGACTAGTATAAACATCTTGGTTATTATACTCAGTGTTTCAGCCATTACACCTGTCAGCTTTCTTCTGATGTCTGTTGTGACAACAGCTAAAACATTGAGTATAACAACCAAGATGTGTGTTGCAGACAAGTGTACAAATGTGGGTATTATAACTTGTAGTGCAATGAAAGTTTCAATAACAGTTACACAAGAAAAATCCAATCAACATGAAATTCAAATATAAATAAATAACTATATATTTATTAAGTACATATTGTTCATGAAGATTTCACATGGTTGTTTATCAGAGACTAATTTGGCACATTTTCATTTTGTCAGCAGTCAAAAGAGGTAGAGTTTCTTAATTGTCTAAGGTGGAAATGAGGCAGGGCTGTCATTGGCTTGTCTATTGACCAATCATAAGACTCATTACATGCCTGTTAAAGCAATACCATTAAATTGACCTCTGGATTGACCACTTCCTTTAAATTCTTACAAGATCTTTACATGTTTTTATGAGTTTTAATTGAAAAGCCTATACTAATAAATCCTCAGTTCAAAAATTTTAATGAATTTGATCTGTTGATAAATTTCTAACTAATAGCTTCTTTTTTGTAATATACCTATATCTAATGACTAATCAGAATATATAATTTTATTTTTGTAACAGAGTGGCTTGACCTTAAGTCATGGTTGTACATATGATTGATAGCAAATAAAACAATTTGTCTGTGCAGGCACAGAAAATAGAATCTGAATTCAAATTCCATACTAGTCTGTTGTATTCACTTTTGTAAAAATTACATTGGGAAGTCATGAATCCATCCCTCCTTCTCCAAGACCCTGCTATAGGTTAAATAAGAGTGTGGACATCAAGTTTGCAAGAAAGAATTCTGAATTCAAAACTTTAGAGATAAGGGAAACCACTTTTCCAATAAATCATAGTAATTCAGATAAATAGAATATGTGGTGATCTATGTTTGCCTATGTCCTGAATGGTCATAGCATTTAAAAAAATAGTTTGATTTATACATATATATGGTTATGTCTAACCATGAAAAAGTTACCAGGTGACAAAAAAAATGGAAGTAAAAGTATCAGATTCCACTAGTCTTTCCATAGAGTCAATTTTTTTTTATATATAAAAATACCCTCATCCCTTGTTTAACTTACAGAAATAGAGATTGAAGTTGTATTTTGATAGTCCAATGACTAGACAAAGATAACAGATCTATGAGAATGCATTTTATTACATTGGCCTCTGTCAAACATTACATTTCCAACCATTATTTTTATTATAAATATTTCTTTAATTTTAGTTCATGCAAATAATATTGTGTAAAATGGTTTGTAAGAAATTTTTTTAAATTAGTCCATTAAATGTCAGCCTACCAGCATCTAAAGACCATGGTATTAAAATTTCAAAATGCATATCCTTACATATAGTTACAAACTGTTTTACCTATATCATATGTAATAATAAACATTTAAAATTGAAATGGTTTCTCATTAAATGCATTAATCCAAATCTTATGGAATTACAAACTAATGACATTAACTGTTCTTGATAATGTGTGATGATCTAAAAGTGCTAGAACTAAACATTATGAACTTTAAAGTTTCTTTATGATCAGGAACCAGCTTGAGGGCAACTAATACTCTAGAAAAATTCACTACAAAACTGAAAATTTTCTCCGTCAAATTTAATTAAAAAATTAGAATATAAATATGTATATGATTGCCATTATTTGACAAAAGTGGCCATTTCAATTCTGGACTACAGCTATGAGTACATGCAAAGTGAATACAAAGTTTGTTAGTCAAATTTATTAAAAAGAAACTGTTTGAATATATAAAGAAAGATGTATTTAAGCAATAAGAAATAACTCTAAAGTTTAGCAAAATTCAAGGAATAAGGTCTGCTTACTTAATTATATTTCTCCAAATAAGATGTATATGAGGATCAAAATTATGAATAAACTGTTCCAAAATCATGCCTTTTTTGGTTTGTTCAAGTACTTTCAACTAATTCAGTGCTTATCCAGAAGTAGATCAGTCTAATAAACAAGATTTTGACTACATCCTGATGTTTTTAGATTGCTAGAATTAAGTTTTTTTTAGAAAGGTATTTCAGTAATTTGAATTAACTTTTTGTGTGGGGGCAAAGGAAGGTTCATTTGTAGTTTATCAGAAATTGAATTAGTTTTATCATGAAAAATTATCTTTGCTCATGTGGATGTTTTTCAGTGCACAGAAGAAAAAAAATTACAAACATAGCATTAATTAGAAAATAAAATGTTTATTAAACCGTTTTTTATTAACTTTAATTCGTAAATATATTCATAATAAATCTAAAATTAAGTCGTTTGATAAATTTTTATGAATAACATTATCTAGCAAAAAAATGTTTCTTATAAAAAAACCCCCAAAAACTATAGACATGACTGACATCTTTTCTTTACTGAAGTTGGCTTAAATCTATTACAAGTGTAGGACACCCAGTGAAACTCAAACTGAAAATAGCATGCTAATCACTTGATAATTGAATTTCATTTTGAAATCATCACATTAATCAATGCCCTAGGTGTCTTTTTTTTTTTAGCTACGAATACTGAAGGAAGCATAATTAATATCAGTTCAACATTAGATCCATAATTTCATTAAAATAACCTATCTAGAATATAATTGTAATGCAATGATATTTACTAACAAAGCAGATTTTACAATCTGTAGAAAACTAAAATTTGATCGGAATTACAATTTTATTAAAAAAAATGTCAACACTTGCTTGAGAAAAACAGAAAAATGAGCAAAATATTTCCTATATGTACAACACTGACAAGTGATTTTTTTTATGTACGAATCAAACATACAACTTAAAAATAAAATGACACTACAATATAGTCCTTTTAGTGTGGTAATTTGCAATTAAAACGTATCCCGTCATCAAAGACTTAGTACTATTATTGCCAGACAGTTAAATCAATTCCATTAAAAAAAATTTTTCAAGATGTAAAAAAAAAAAAAAAATATAGCATACAACTGGATTTTTTTTTTTATCCATAGTAATACAAACATGGATGCTTCGTTGTGAAATGTTTTTGTTTACCAAGCTAGTCTCACAGAGCATTGCTCGTCGGAGGTGGGTTCGATCCTGAGTTAGGATTTGATATGACCCTGTGTTTTTAGCGCTAAGCTTAAATAAACACGTTATTTTGAATTCATTTCAAAACACCTCTCACTACATAGTCATCGTCATTTTACATTTGATAGATTTTTTTTTTTACCTTGTTTATTTTTAAGCTATGCATAAATGCTCTATCGAATTTTATTTTTGGGTGCAATCTGCAACAACAACATGGCAGCCATTATGAATATTGAAATTCTGATCTTGATTGAGCGCCAGTATCAGGTGGGGTTTCACTTTAACCACCAAGGAGTCACCTCGGTGCTTCAAGCTGATTAGTGATTACAGCGCCGTTCAACTTGAATACAAGGGACTTTCTTCAGAAGTATAGACGTACAAGCGCAGATGCTGCATGAATATTCCATTGTCACGAACAGAAATGTGCAAAATAACGACAAAGCGCCTCCTTTAAAAAAAAGAAAAACAAAGCGATGACAAATCTACATCACTTTCTAATTGGCACAGACAAAAAATGTTGAAAAATTGGGTATAAAAAAAACGGCTTATCACTTTTTTCAAGTCGTTTTGCTTATTTTAAAAAGGATACCAAAAAAAAAAAAAAAAAAAAAAAAAAAAAAAGGAGGGGAGGTGGGCGAGTATATTGGTAAATGTAAAAAAAAAAAAAAATTTCCTTTATCCCCAAACTTCAGCAAATGCCTGAACTTTGGAACACTAATTTTTTTTTTATATTCAGAAAGTTTAATTTATAAATTAAGCAAAAAACTAAATAGCAAATAAAAAAGTTAAGTTATCTGACGGAGAGAAGATACCGTATATATTTTAAGGACCTTCTCCTTTCTCCTAAAATAGAAAAGTTTCACTTTTTCATTAAAAAAAAAAAAAAAAAAAAAAAAAAAATGGAAAAGAGAAAACTTTCTTTACAGCTTTTTATTTCTGGCATGCCAATTGTCAGTTTCACTACACTTGCAGCTTTGGGATCATTAAGTAAAAATAAAAATTTGTTTATTTTTTCACTCAGCTTGATTGCGTACTAGCTGAAACCACGAATAAAGAATTGTAACAAAAACAATCATTTCATGAAAACAAAAAGTAGCACCAGTTCAAGTTTGATGATATTACTACATATCAAAATCCATGACATCAACCTTGTAAAAAGTAAAAACGCGCACTTTCATTAGCGGCCGATTGACACCATGCCAATATAAATGCATAATGTGCAAATTATTTCAACGCTACATCCCACACAAAAGGAGTGTGGGGAAAAGAACGTTACTTGAGGGGAAAGAAAAGTAAGGGAACCTGTAAAAATAAGACTCAAAAATCCTTTCTAAACTAAACTGCAAAGCACTTTTCTTTTCGCTTCCGAGTTCACCTTAAGTGTGCACTTAGACACTCGCACACACAGACACACAGAAGTGCAAACATTTGATTTTCTACAACCCCCAATCTTCACTTCGATGAATAATCTCGAGATGTTTGACCCACTAACATAGTAGAGAGGATTAACATTTCATTTCTGGTTGAACTTAGTATAATTAAAAAAAAAAAAAAATAAAATAAAATAAATACATAAAGAAACACTAAATTTTACATCACAGATCACTTTTTTTAAAGAAAGGCTGAGAAGACAGACAGACAATAACAAAAACAAAATATTTTTCCAAAGCACTAAAAAGTAAACATTAACACCAAAAATAGGTAGGACTTATTTGTATGGAAAAGGTGTAGAAAAGATAAGGAAAATAAATATAGGTTGTATTTTAATAAGATTAACAGACATGCACGGATGTTAACTTTGTTAATAATACTGTGAGCTAATTCCCTTTCTTCAGCAAAAGTAAATTAAACACTCCCCCTCCCTTCTCATTGCATACAAACATACACACGTACGCACAGACACAAAGCATGAATTTGAATTGGAACCAATCAAAATCTCAGAAGCAATTTTTGAAATTACTTGCACTATTTGTCTTCAAAGCCCCATCACTAAATATTCTTACTCGTTAAATAAATGCAATATTTTTCGTTAAATCGTTGATAAAATTACGATTCATTAAAATTAATACGAAAAATAGATATTATATATTCGCTTTTTTAAGGATCAAGTGATTCTTTTATTCACTGATTATCGTAATGTAGGAAACTATTTTTTATGGCGCAATGATTAAAAATAGTCTACGTTAGTTGAAATTTCAAAATATTATTAGAGCCGTATATTGAACGCGCGTATTTTATCAGGTAAGTCAGAATTTTAAAAAAATGCTTTTCTTTTTACATTTTATTTTTTTTTATATTATACATATAAAACTTATATTTTAATACTAAATCTGAAAAAAAAAAAAAAAAAAAGATAAAACTTAGCTTCTGTTTTGTTTTTATTCTTTGTCTTTAATTCTTTCTTTGTTAAAAAAAAAAAAAGTATTTTCCTTGTCGGCCAGTAATCTTTAGAAATTTATCTTTTGTGATTTTATAAATAAATGGATTAATTTTTCTTGTATCCATCAAGTATTTTTTTTTTATATTGGAAGATTATAAATAATGAAAGAGTGGATTTTTCGTTTGTTAAAACTATTTTCCGAGTTTGATACTTTTTTTGCTATATTTGATTTTTTTTTTCACTTTAATCTTCAGTAATTGTTTTTACTTAACTTGTTCATTCTGTTAATACCATTATCAACATTTTCGTTAAAATGTTTAAAATCAAGAAAGTGACTTGACCTAAAAAAAAAAAAAAAAAATTCTATCACCAGTAACGAAATAACCACGTAAAAATGATAAAACTACATGAAAATAATTATAGTTGTCAGATAAAATATTTAAATTTTGAATCCAATATTGTGTTCCCACTTTCCATAAAAGTTCACGCGAAAGGAAAATTGATTCCTAAACTGTCGTGTGCTTTTTAGTTTTCAGTTAAAATTTTCTGTTTACTTTACAATAAGTCATTGTTTACCCGTCGATTTTTTTTTTTTTTTGAATGATTCAAGTTTTTTTTGTTTGTTTTTTTTTTTTAAGATCATATTTTTCGATATTCAAACCTAATTTCTGTATAATTGTTTTGTACTTTAGTAAATTTGTAATAAAATTCGATCTTTACTAAAAACAAAAAATTCACATGCGCCGTTGGTTTTTAGGTCACAGTTTGAAATTAGCGCCTTACTGTGACTGGTAACTCGTTTTTCCGCGCACTGACAAATTAATGAATTAAGTACTTTTAGTAGTAGTATTAGTAATGTTAATATTTATGAAATGAATCAGTTTGCAAGGGGGGTAATTTTTTATTTAATATTTTTTTCAATTCTGATGAGTTAGATGTGGAATGTTTTTGAATTCGTTTTTTTTTAAATCTTGTGCCGCCTTATTGAAATTTGTAATAAAATGTTTTGTATGGACGTGTTTTGATCACTGATGAGTAAATATTTTAACGTCTTGAATTTTTTGTTTAATTTTGAAATTGATCTATTGCTCAAATTTGTCGTTAAAATTGTATTTTTGGCGGGGTAAGGTTTTTCTTTTTTTTGCCATTAGTACGAAAGTGATATGCATTAGGTTTCATTCAGTATTTTTTTTTCTAAACTTGGTATCCTTGTTGAATAATTGCTAGTAAATTTTCTGGGAATGTAATTTGCTATATAAATTTTTAGTTTTATAATCATTTGAGAATTAGAAATACAAATATAATTGTCACAAAGAAAACGCTATAAGAGTTAAATGCTGAAATTAATTATTAATACTGAAATAAAAAAAAAAATACTATCAAATTCAAATGAAAATAGTAATACAAGGGATGCAGGTGTTCTTGTCTACTACAGAACATACACAAAAAGTCTAGAAACTTTACAAATCTACGTAGGGGGATCGGAAAAGTTATGGTAAGAAAATAAAAAAAAAATCACACCAAGAAAATTTTAAAATTATCTTTAACTGGAAATTTTACCTTGATCATTTAATCGTATAAAATAAAATGTTAAATTTTGATATTCGACCACAAAAATACTAAATCCGAGTACTAAATTCCAACAAAACAGTGTACATTGAATAAAAAATATTGGCAAAAATTGAATTTATGGATACTAAAAAGAAAGGCTAATACTCAATTAGAACTCGCTAAGCTTTTTTTTTTATTGTTCAAGTTTAGCAATTAGATTTTTAGTTTACGGACCCATCTGTACTGTAGTAAAATCTTGCGTTAAACTTTTTTATCAAAGAGTGGTCAGCGTTTTTTATTGAAAATTTCAAACGTCAGTAATTAATTTTGAGTATCAAATCAAAGTCAAATGCAAATAGAGAAAAAAAATAAAAAACAATAGAATGTGAATTTGTGCAGTTAGGCTTTGCTACTGAATCCTTTGTGTAATCTGCAGCCATTTCACGATCGGGTATCTTGTTTTTAAAACTAAACGCGGAGGAGAATACTTGGCTCACGACCATATTCTCCGCGTTCAAAGGTAGAAAAGAAAGACCTACGTTTTTTTTTGCTTTTTTTTTTTAATATTGAAATTGGTTGAATTTTATTGAATATGCAAAGTTCACAATGTACACTGATTTTTTTATCGTATGAAGCTTGTTAAACCATACGGCTTTTTCTTTTCATAAGTTTGAATTTTCTTGAAATGTTAATGTTACTTTTTTTGGCGCCATTTGTGATTATATTCAGACACTCGTATAAAGCGTTCAGTTTAAGTAGTACTAAATAAACATTTTTTCTTTTAGTTAGATTATAATCTTAACTTTATAAAAGTTGCAAAGTTTGCATAAAATTTCGGAACATATTACAGTTGCTTTATAATTTTGTAAAGGGTATATTAACTAATTTTCATTTTCTTTTCATACGAAAACTGAAGGTGAAAAGCCGTTTTGACTTGAGTCTTTTCTATCTAAAGCTGTGTTTTGTTTATTTCTAATCTTACTATGCAAATTTTATTAGTGACTCCCGCATTTTAGCAGATCATATTTTTTTTACCTGACAAAATGATAAAACAGCCATTAACAACTCTGAATCTTTGAATATTGAATTTTATTTTTCATGTGTAAAAAAACAAAAAAACTAGTAAACAATTCCCGATGACATAATTATGGCACGTAGTCGTTCATAAAATGAATCACTTATTTCGTCTTTACTCATTGAAAAAGTTAAAATTCTTTTCATTGTCATTTTCTTTAATGAATGTATTTAAAAAAATTTTAATGCTGTAAATGCGGAGAATAAGACTTGAGAAAATTACTGCAAATCAGATTATCCAGTTTTGTTTGTCTCTTTGGATAACCATTTTCAAAAATATAAACAAATGAATTGCTAAGGAATCATCCTAAAATGTTAACTACATTTTTTTTTTTTTGCATTAATTTCTTTTGTCTCTAAACTTTTAGTTTCAACATATGGAAAAATGCGTAATGGAAATATTATTGTGATCAAAAGAGATGGGAAAGATGGAGTTTCTTTCCCTCTCCAGACTAAAGCTTGTCTCCTCGGAAGGTGAGTGAAATATTTTATTTTTATTTTATTTATTTATTTTTTCCTCTCTTTAATCAAATTTACTCTGGCATCAATTACCCATTTTGTTAGGTAATCCAATTATTCATGTTTGAAAACTCATTAAGTGTTAAAAATTCAGACCTTGCATTGTTCATTAACAAAAAAAGAATACATTTTAGTTCGTTTATTTTCGAAGTTATTTAGTTAAATTTGCAAAGGAAAATTTATGTTGATTTAGCTTTGTCCTACCGATCAGTTTGTGCTTTAGTATGTAGTGTATCCTACCACCACATTTGTATCCTACATTAATTAAAGCATTTCTTAAAGACATTCAGAATATTTTTGGGATTTGAATATCTCTTGATTTTTTTTTTAGTCAATTATTTTATTTTAAATTTTATAATACAACAATAAGTGGCATCCCTCTTACGTTAGATAATGTAGGGTACAAGTGTGGTGGAGGATACACTGATCGGTAGGACACACTAAAGCGGCACTGAAAAATTTTAACACATCGCTAAAAACTTAACGAGGTATGAGTAATAATCGGCACCTCCTCGTGCCAGCTGGAGTTTGTAGATCGTTAGTATTGAGTTCAATCCTTACGTGGTGTCACTAGCTGTGGCAGCCTTGTTCCAAAACTAAGCTTCAGCACTTACTATATTTTGGTTGGCCTGTCTCACTGGATGTTTTGTGATTGTGCCAACGTAGGCTAAATTATTGTATGCATATTTTACAAGATTGAAATAAAATCAGAATTTTATTGATTTTTAAAACGCAGGCAAATCTGAACTTTTTGTTTACTTTTTTTTTTTTTTTTAATAAGTTTCAATGGCTCCACTTATGTTTTATTTATACTAATATCGCTCTTCAGTGTATGATAGTAAAACTAATTTTTTTTGCGATGCATGTTCTTATCTTAAGCCTCATGGAAACAGATTCTAAGTTAGCTATAAATTCCAAATGAAAAAACATGCCAAATAGTGCCTTTCACAAATTTGAGTAATTAAATACAGTTCTAACAGTTATTAATAAAAACCTTTTAATTTTTGGCCGTGTTTAGTTTAAAGGTACCTCCAAAGATTTGACAAAATGAGCATACATACACGAAAAAAATGTCCCAAACTTAAACAGTTTTATTGTCAAAATATTAAGAGGAAAGGTTAAAGGATTTTTTTAATGTTTGAAATTTTGGTTGAAATAATTTTCTTTTAGGTGAAAAACATTGATTTGAAAATTTTAGCAAAGATCAAATATCTGATTATGAAACTTTCAAGACTTTCAAATTATTTTAGAAATGTTTAAAGAAATTCTGTAATTTCTTTTTACATCTGTTACTCCCACACACAATTTTGAGAAATCCATTTTTGTACCACTATATACAGATGTACCACTATATACAGAACTTATGAAACAGGATATCTAGTTTCCAAAAATCAGCTTTGAATTGTAAAATAAAAAAGCAATAAAACTAAGACATTTAATTAGAAAAGTTTTTAGTTGCTTTTATGAATAAAGATATATTATGAATGCTATTGTCTTAAAAACTTTTTCAATGATTAATGAATTTTTACAGTAATTGATTTCATTTTTTAAAATTTAATTAGAATTATAAAGCTTTAAATTGCTTAAAATTCTGTATTAACTTGTGCCAGTTAAGTAGTATTGTTAAGTAAAAACTATATTTACTAATCAAAAATGTAAAAGCTTAGTGCAATTTATCAACCACCAGTATTTTAAATAGAATTTTTATTTTTTATATATGTGCCAATTTTTGTAAATATGGACGTCCATAAATGATATCAGAAAAACCTGGTAACTTTAAAGCCAAAGTACCTAAAATTCAATAAAACAAGTTATGGAGAATATTTTCCTAAATTTTTAAGATTGAGTAGTTAATTTTTAACTATCCAATCTTAAAAATTTAGGAAGCTTGAAATTTGAAACTAAAATAAAAACCTTAGATATCATTTCTTTGGAAGTACCTAAAGTTAAATTTTATGGCTGGATATTAGTTAAAGCTATCAATAGTGATGAATTTTTACTATCTTTCCTTTTATATTTTTTTCTCTAGGAGCAGTAGCTGTAACATTAGGATACAGAAACCAACTGTAGCTCTGGAGCATTGCCGTTTGACAATTGAAAAAAATGGGCAGGTATATATTAACTTCAAACTATCAGTATATAAAATGTGCATGTTAACTTATGGTGATATTGCATTCAAGGATATCATTGCCTTTATCAGTTTCAGCAGAATATTGTAGAGGCTTATAGGGAAATGTCAAATCGGTTTGACATTAGTTACTTTGTTTTGCTTAGTAAAAGTCTTAAAAAAAAAAAAAAACTGTTATACCAGAGCTTAATCACCAATGTGTAATTGGGCCCAGGTTTTTTTTTTTTTTTTTTTTTTGAGCTAACTTGATAAACAGTAAACTAGGAAATAAATGCTAGCCAGTGTGACTACATCAAATTTTCAATTGTGGGATCATTTGTCTTTTTAAAGGGTCCAGCTTTTGAGGTGATTCACTATAGGCACTAGACTTATTCATATCAGACAAATGGTTTAGACGTTGGAAGAAAAAAAAAAAAAAGAAAGAAAAAAATTAAGTCTGTAAAGGGATTATTCTGGGAAATAGTTTGTGTTAAAAAAAATTTTATTATTGAAAATTGCATGGAAAGCCAGATTCCATTTGAGATTCTTAGTAGTCATGGAAAATTGGTTCTCTAACACATGTTCCAGGTTGTTACAATTGTATTATGAAACCTTCCAGATTAAAATAAGCTACCTTACTTTTCTATATATAAACTTAGAAAAAAACTTAAATTTGAGAACTTACCTCAAAGGAGAGGATTTAAAGTTTATAAACAATTGCTTTTCATAAATCATTTTTAAACATCAAATGACAAACTTGGTTATTACCAGTTGATCTCCCCCTACCTCAGTATGTTTTGCAGAACCAGGACAGATATTGAGGATTTAAGTCTTCATTCATGATTGTCAAAAATGGTTCTACTTGGCATTGGATATACATGGGTTTTGTTTGCCATTGAAATATAGTGATTTAAAAGAAAAAAGATACCTGCACAAGAAAGTCCCAATTAGACAGTAATAGATATTTTGGTTAATACACACTATACAATAAAATCCAACTTCACAGAAGAGCAGTGGTTACCTATTACATATTTTCAAAAAATTGTTTTGGCTAATTAAAGTTTTGTAAAGCTTTTAGAGGAGAGTTGATAATGCACTCATTTTGAAAGCTGTTGCCATGTACTGAATTTGACCATGTTGGCACTTAAAACTTTTCTCTTGCATATTTTAATATAAAACAATTTTAGGTTTCATTTAAAAATTGTGGTGTGACATTTTTACAATAACTTAGGACATTTAAAAACTTTTCTGAAATTTGATGATAAAGCTCTTATGCATTAGTATGTTTTTATGGAAACCTATTTTCTATCTTTTGTTGTTTCTTAGACACTGTTTCAGCTACTACATTATTGAATTCAGATGTGTTCTATTATGAAGACAATAGTTAGAAAAATGTATAGAATCACTGAATTTTTTAAGTTTACTTTGTAGGTAAAATGCATCATTTTGAGCCCTGAAGAAAAATACTTTGTAGACAATTTTTTATAAATTAAAATAGGCCCATTTGATCTTATTCAATGTTCCCAAACTTAGAACATTTAAGTTTTCAAGCACTCTTTGTACATGTGCTTTGTGTGACCAACAACAAAACTGCCTGTTAAATGGCACTCTCTTCAGGCTGTTTTCATGTACTTTCTCTCTACCTGTTAACATGGCTGTCCCTAGATATTTAATGCATTCTGATGTCAAATTGTATATAATTTTTAAAAAATAATTGTATTAATTAAAAAAAAGTTGTTTAGTAGATTTAAAAAAATCCATATTAAATGGATTGAAATTGGATATATTCACTGTTTTGTTGCATTTTCAATTATTTGGATCATGTCACAATTTCAATCTGCCCAGAATATTTTCTTTCTCAGCAAATAAGTGTTCATGCTTTTTTGCTGTGTTCCAATGTTGGTTTTTTAAGGAAGTTTTCCAAAGCTCTGTCAAGGTCAAATCTGCAAAAGATATTGTTGGAAGCAATTCTGTTCAAACTGACAAAGGTCCACCAGGCAGATAACAAAAAGACTTTTCAGGAGAAAGTTAAAGAGCTTATATTGGGACCCATGGTTGAGTTCATTTCAACTGGCAGGTGTGACAAGCCTCCTGCTGCTAATTAGAATACTGAGTTGGGGTAGGGGTTGCAACCAATATCAGTTAACCTTCAATTTCTCTTATGCTAATGGCATGTAAGATCAATGGTCATCTAAAAGTATCTAAAAATATCTGACTATGAAGAATGAATGTAAATTTTATATCCAATCTTTAATCATTTTTGTCTGATCACTAAAGAAACATAATCAGTATCCTCATGAAATATTCCATACTTTCTCTTAACTAATTCAAAATACTTTTCATTGATTGCTGTCTTTACTTGGTTGAATTGAGAGCAGAACATGTTCAAATTAATTGCTTGCTTCTCCATAAGCAGCTTATGGTAGAGGACTTCATTCCAACCCCATTATATATACGACATCCTGTTACTTGAATGAAGAGCAACCTTTGATGTGAGTAGCAGGGTTTTTTGTGTTTATGATTGTATTTATTGTATGTATGAGCCATCATCACTGAGTGAATCATGAATTTCCACCTGTCATGATGAATGGATGTTCTCTCAGAAAATCTGTTCATCATGTCTTGTGTGCCTATTAGTGTAAACTCAATCCAGACTTGAAGTGGAGCTCATATATATGATCCATCATTGAAGATACTGGTATGTTAGGGTAGGTTGATTTTTCACTTTTTTAGAAAATCAAAAAGAATAATTTACCTAAAGTTGTGTATAGACCTATTAAGTACTGATACAAACAATTAGATCTGACACTTCAACGTTTTTTTGAGCTTTTGGCATCAAAAATCGTAACCAAAATTCACTGAAATATCCTTGATTTTGTAAGATTTAGCCTAAATATTGCTGAGAAAACCCCAAAAAATTCAGTATTTAAATCAGGGAATGTTCTTATTTTATTTTATAAAAATGAAATAAAAGGTAGAAATTATAACTAAACTTCAAATTGAAAATCTGTCCCCCAATTATCAGTGACGGCTTTGAAATGCTGTTTTTTTTTTACCTCATGAATTAAGCAGTAATAGTTGAATACATTAAAAAATTGATTTTTTTTTTTTTTTTTTTTTTTGTATTATGAATGAAAATACAAAAAATAAATAATAGTTTAATAGGGCTTAATACATAGTCAAATATCTATATATATGAGCCCTTAGACAAAAATGTTGGTCTCAATTTCTGACACAAAATTTTTGCTATTATGTGCTGGTGCCTTACTTCAAAACCATACACAGATTGGGAAGCTTCTTTTGTTAACTTGACTGCCCATTCTGCACCTTGAGAATGTGAGGGCAAATCTGGCAAGTCGAGCTTCATACCATTTAATGATTCCTGAAGTTCATTTTCAGAAAATTCTTCTATTAGTGGTGGTTCACAAGCTCCACTTAATGACAGATCTATTAACTGCATCCAGTTCATAGCTTTAAAATTGATAGTTGTGACTCTTTTTAATCTTTTCTTGGCTGGCTCCCCCCTCCTGAAAAAATATAAAAATTAATTTGAATTATTTAAAAAAATAAAATAAATGCACACTATACTGCTTTGGTGAAATTGGATAAAATCCTTAAAATGATTCTATAAATCGGCATAACTAATTTTAGTCAGTTTTATATGAATAAATATTTACCTAATGGCCAAAATTCTTTTAATAGCTTCTTACTTCACTTCCAGTTCATCAGATTTGACCATTGAATATAAGATATTTTCAGGCAGTAAAGTGAAAGCATTGTATTGTATATTTTTCAAAGTGATCTGTTGGATTTCATATGGTTGCTCCTAATCCTTTGGAACATATTGAAAATATACATTTGCTCACAATAAAATTTATTAAACTGTGGAGTTTGGTTGAAAGATTTTGTGGGTATGCACCACGAGTTGATAAACACATCAGCCTGGTGGCTAAAGTTAACCACCTTGCCTGGTTTAATGAACCCATTTTCCATGATGCAAATCTAGAGTCCTCCTTACCTCTAGAAATACTCACTGTATATTCATAAAGGAGTTTTTGGTCACAACTAAAGGTATCTGTGTTTTCAATTTTAAAAATAGAATCCAGACGACTGCTAACAGCTGAAAATGATAATTGGGGTAAATTATGGTAATCATTTACACATAATTTACCCAGTGGACCATTCAATGTGGTAGGGCTTTTTGTGGTACCATCTACATGTTTAAAAAGACCTAAATAGAAGTTCATTTTGGTGCAAGGGGCAACCAGTAGTGTGAAGATCTGTTAAGTTTTCTTTCTAGAAGTGCAACAAGGATAACCTTGATAGTGCTCACACTGTTGAATTCATGCAAAACATCAGTCGCTTGCTCGGCAAGAACAGTACCAGTTGCACCAATATTAGGAAGAACTCTGTGTCAGATATTCCCTTTTATATGTCATCTCCTTTGTGACAGTCAAGTGGCATTCTGGTCCCTTGTACATTAGTGTCTTTGTCAGTTCTCCCATCAACTCCAATACATAGATTTTCCACCTTTTCATCATGCTTTTGATGGGCATTCGTTTTCACTTTAGCCTTTGCTCTATTAATTTTACATTTGTCTATGTCAATATCTTTTATATTAATATGGGGGATAAGAAGGCCCATAGCCCTCAAATCCAAGAGCAAGGCATTGGCAAGGCTGGCTCCAAGATTGGAAGATACATCACCCCTTATCAACTCAATAGCATACAATAGCATTAACATTAGGGTTGTCACAATTTAAAACTGGCAGTTTGCATGAACAGGACGAAATACCAAATAATGTATCAAGCTTTTTCTTCCAGAATTTCTTTTGGGCAACAGGGAGAGATTTCCTATTTATTTGCTTTGCCTTCTGGAAGCATGAACTTTTCACCTTGTTCATAATACTAATTTCATTTAATAGATGCAAACGGAGGTTAACAGCCTTCCAAATATCTATTACATCTTTTGCTATTAATTTACAAATAACAAAACTTGAAAGGTGGGGAAAGTATTCATTAAAAAATAATTTGTTGATAAATTGGGGGCTCTATTTTATCTAATGACAAAAGTGAACCTGAGAATTTCATTGTATCTTTACTGCGAGTTGAAATTGCAGTGCTTTTTCCTGCCGTTTTTAGTAAAATATCCGAAAAAGAAAATATATGTATTATAAGAAGTTAACATTTAACCTACACGTTTCCAGTGACACTGATATAATGATAAAAATCGCAATTTGTTTTGTCTTTAAGTTCGATTCTTCAAATAAATACAAAGTTTTGAAGAAAAATATTATTTGTGGTAATTTTTTATATTATTTTGCAACTTTCCTCAAGTTATTCTTTTTACAGTTCCAAAATCGACCTACCCTACTGGTACGTGACGCCTCCTATTATCCTCTACCTTTATAAGAAACAGATCAGACTGAAAATGAAGTACTGCTTTCATATATGAACAGAAACTGCCCATTCTTCATTTTCCAGTCTCGGTAGAGTCCAAAAGCATCTCTGTGCCCTTGTGGGAGATGAATTATTTTTGCCCCTACAACCCATTTTTTACAGGTGAAATGTTACAAGCCTCTTACTGTTCTACCACTATTTCCATGTCATGTCTTCAAATGAACTACATTCCTTATTTCCACTAGTTCTGTTAACAGCCAAGACCCACCATGCCATGCACATTGTGGTGAACCACCCTCATTCTCTCTGTATTCCATTGATGAGATGGGTTTCACTTAAGCAGTTTATTCCCATGAATCATTGCTTTGTGGAACCAACTCTCAAGGGGATGCTTTCCTCAACACTACATTCTTAACCTGTTCAAGTCTCGGGTTAACCGTTTTCTTCACAACATATCTTCATGAACTGTCCATCCTACTCTGTAACCCTCTACTGTGAGTGGTTCTTGGGCCTTGTACACGGTGAACATCATTGTAATAAAAAAAAAAATCTATTCTTCATTGTCATTTCAAAAACAGAATATTTTATGTTTAAGTAGCAAATCACACATGGAATATAGTCCAAGTTTAACAGTCATAAACACAGACTAGTGCTACTAATTTTCAGATAACAATTTGGATATTTTAAGTATGTTAGTTATTCCTTTCACTATATAACATTAATTCTCAAATAATGTCTTGCAATCAGCCTCAACTGGTCTACTTAACAAGAGCATCACTCAGTGAGGAATCTCCAGTACAAAACTTTGTAAACCATTTTTGACAATTTTATTGATTTAGAGTACCTTTTCTACAAACTGAAGATTTTTTTTTTTTTCTTTTGTCCCATCTTTACTTTTAAAATATATGCCAAAAACGTTTCTTACTTTCAATATTATAATTTATTAACAAAAATACAATAATTTTTCCCCCTCTTTTCAGGTGGTTTTAAAAAATTTGTCTGCTGAAAGTGTTACAAAAGTGAACAATGAAGTGATTAATGTTCATTACCTTAAGCATAAAGATGTAATTACTGTTGGTGAACGTTCGTTCAGATTTGAATCATTACAAGATCAAGTTATGCCTAAAAAGGGCACCAGCAGTCCTATTAAGGAAGCAGTTCCTGTTAAAATTCACTCACCAAAGGTATGTAATTTATTCAAATTTAAATCCACTTTATTTGCTTATTCCTTTTTAAATTTTTCTCAAATCTCTTTTTGTGGCATACTTAACTATTTTTATTGTTTATTATCTTGCCAATGTATTCAGTTCCTATTTGAATTGTCCTGTAATCTCTGCATCTAAAATTAAAATTATCAATAGCTATACTATTGCGCGCGCGCACACACAAGCACGTATGCACAACTCTTCTGTTGCATAATAAAATCTCAATCAAATATCAAAATCATTTTAATGAATAGTCACTTGACAGATGTTAAAATTACATTAAAGAATGAAAAAATCTTCAGCTCATAGTCAGAAAAAACTAATTGTAAATTAAAAATACAATAAACAAATTAAACCAAAAATTCTACAAATGATCAGTGGATAAAACATTTTTGGATTTTGGATTATTTTTGTATACCTTCTTGTTACCAACTTTGTAATTTCTTTGTGGGCAAGGTGTTCTTCACTTTTTTCCCATGCATGGCTTCTTGAAGACTGGAGTTATCATTTTGTTCTAAAAAATTAATAATTACTTCAATAGAATCTTTGTCTTTGAGTAAAATTTATCTAATTAAGGAGTTATTATTCTGGGATTGTGAATAGGCATGCTATAAATAGCAGATGAAATGAGCAGAGAAAATTTACAGCTTAATTCCATTTTAGAATCATTGAAAAGTAGCTTGTTGCTGATGAGTATTTAGCATGTGTATACATGTGCACGCGTTCATACACATACATTATTTTCTTAAAAGCTTGAAAAGTTATTTTTTGTTTTTCTGCACTAAACAAGTTAATTCTATTAATTTTTGCAATCTAAATTTTATGGTTCTTGAAATTAACTAATTCAATTATATTCTTTGTTCAGCCTTGCTTTGTAACTGTTAGCTTTTCAGCATAATAACACATCTATGGCTGTGATCAGAATTATGCAAATCCACTCAGTTGATTTAGTGAACTTTAGACTCATGAAATAACATACTAAAAAATCTTTAGAACAAAATTTGTCACAGTTAAAATAAAGCTCGTTGCTAACAATGTATTTACATAATTTTTATTAATGGCACAGCATGCACACACACTTAAAAATTTAGTAAATTTATTTGAGTAGTATTACTAATGTACAATATTTGTCAGCCATTGAATGACGAGACTAAAAAAAGAAAGATTCCAAATTACAGAACTTCAAATATAATTTTACATGCAGTAAAAAAAAATGTATACTGTTTTCAAAGGTTGTTTATTTATTATTTTACTTGTTTTTTTAATTAGTACAATATCCTCCAACCCCTCTCCATTATGATTTTTTTTTATTTGATGCACAACTGGAATATAAACCATAGGGTTGAAGTTGGCATCTGCACTACAACTTTTTAATTTGATGAAGTTTATGAATATACGATATAATAAATATTCTTGGTATTGTTTTTGGATTTTTTTTTATTTTTTTTTTTTTTTTTTTTTACACATATGTGTATACATGTATAGTTTGGAATATGTTATAAAAAAACACATCTAATCATTTTAGCTATTTCAAGCCAGAATTAGTTTAAGCAAATCCTAACATTTTGATAAGAGAAAATCTAATCTAACAGCTGATAAACAATTTGTAGACAGCTTTAGAAATACATTAAAAATAAAGAAATACATTCAAATTAAAATTGATTAACATTATATTTTCTTGGGAAAATAATATTATAATGTTTTTTATAGTTATTTAGTTTTCATTTTATAGTTATTAATTTGGGAAAACTTGTTTTTTAACAAATGACAATGAAAGTAATAAAAATACCTGAAACTGCACACAAGATTTGTACTGAGAAATGTGAAAAAGAGTGATCCAGTATATTTCCTGCCTGTACATCTTATGACAACTGGCTACAAGAAACAACTTTGAGTTGTTGTAGTAATCTACTTTCCAAAAGGATTTGATTAGTTTTTTGCTGTTCAATAACTGATGTTGAATTTGAATTTTCATATTTTTAAATTTTTGTTTAGTATTAGCAGTGTTAAGATGTATGCAATATTTTGACTAAATCCAACAATTAGAAATATGGCTAATTTCTAAAGAAACTATAAGGAGATCGAAGATTAATTTACCTCATTATTTGTATACACACATAAAGAATCAATGTTGTATTGTTATGAACAGAAATTAATAATTTCCAACTGTTTTTTTTTTTTTTTTTTTTTTTTTTCCAGCAAGTATAAAATTCATTTGTCAGTCACTAATTGAGGATATTTAATCTGATTGCAACCTTCTTAAGAGATGTGATATAAAGTATCCCAACCAGAAAAAACAAAGACACAAAAAGTATTTTGTGTAACAAAATCAAAAATTATTTACTGCATGTATCTGCAAAGTTGCTTAATGAATTGAAAGAAATTTTTTAAAAAAATGTTGAATAAATTGATTTTGAAGCTTTCAGCATGATATTGTAAATAGTGAATTAAGCACATTGCTGAATTTGGGTTTCCTTTTTATAGATTTCAGAATTTTAATATTGATTTAAGCATAACAATCCAATACATATTTACTTTTATCCTATGATTTTAATCTTAAGTGTTACATTTAATTGCTTTAGAAGGTTTATTTCTAATTGACCCTTTTGTGTCAATAGAGGAATTGGTGTGTAGCCTTGAGATTGCATACAACTGTATGCTTGTGACTGTTTTCATAGGTTTGCAGCAATATACAAGGGTTTCAAATTTTAGTTTGTGAAATGATCAAATGTTGCAGAAAATGATTTCTTTTTGTACATAATATTTTTCTTTGAACTCAATCAGGAGCATATTGCTGTCAGATTATTTTCCATATATATTCTTTGTGGATGTTATTTTGATTTGTTTGAAAGGTCTTCCATTGTATGTTTCTTTTAAAAATCAGATATAAATTGAAATTCACATGGTATATTTCTCATAACCATAAGTATATCCCCAAAATGTTAGCAATATCAGTTGGTTAATAACATCTGACAGTGTTTTGCACTTGTATGTGTTTTTGAGTCATTTATTTTTCAATCTGAACTAGATTGTTTATTTAAAAATGAGTTAAGCGTTATGATAAAATTGCAAATGCCATCTATTTTGTATATAATCTGCCCTGCTGTTTTTATTTATTTTTTTATTTTTATTTTTTTTCTTCTCCTGACCTGCGTGGTACATACAACCAGACATGTTTTGTTCTTGCTGAATTGTGTATTTGTGAAATCATAACTAGCACAAGTCACACTACTGACAGATGAATAACGGTGGTTGTATTGACTACTTTGCTTGCTCGGGATACATGGTGCAGAATGACATTTGTTTGAAAAATATACTCAATAGAAACTATTTTCCACTAAAATAGTGTGAAGGTATTTTTTTTATGAACACCACATAAAGTAACTTAAAAAAAATTAAGCTGAAATAAGCACTACGTAATGATTTGTATATAGTTAGGCCAGGCACTGTTGTGTTTTTTAAGAAACTTATACTTTATATGGAAGAGGATGTTAAAAAGTTCTCAGTTTATTAAAAAAAAGTTTTTTATGTTTAGTTACTGAAATTAGAAAAGGTTGAATCAGGATTCCCCTCACTACCACATACATGCTGTTTAAAAAAAATAGTGCCTCCTATTTTACTATGCTCACTCATAAAATCATATATTTATGTGGCAGAAGAAAGACCCTCCTTCCAATAGCCCATCATCATATGTGTACTGTATTAAAGTAGAATGCCTGATATGAAAATGCATTTGAAATAGAAGTGTTTTATTGAATTTCTCTAAGCAAAAAAAAATTCACTCGTTGACATGCAATGATGTTTGCCGAATGTTTGCAAACACCAACCAATGGGAAGTGTTTGGGAGACTAAAAACTTGCTCTATTCAATGATTTTGTTTTCTTTGTTTGTTGTTATTGCTATGAAAAACAAGAAGCATTACTTTTGAGGCACTATGTGTGTGTGCATATTGATCTACTTGTCTTTTGTCAGTTATTTAATAAAACATTGAATTGGCATACATGATAGATGTTTATAATAACCATTAAATTTGGTTGTTTAAAACTAATAATTTATTTATGTCACATGAACATTTCATTCAAATACATCAGGAACTGATGATATACTGAAACATCTGTACACTTGTTGAAAGTTTTTATTGCTGTATTGTGGTAGTTTCAGCTTTGAACAAAAATTTTTAACTTAATTGTTCAATTCTTGATTACAAGTTATAGAATTGAAGGATATATTAAAAGCAATTGTTTTTTTTCTTTGAATTTTTTTTATTAAATTTAGTAGTACTTAAGTATCAAATGAGATTTTACAATTCAGTGAATTTGTTGCAAATTATTTTTCTTGGTTTAAAAGCTGAAAAGTAATTATTTTCAGACTAGTTCCTTAAATTTCCAATTTTTTATTCAGATTTATTGTAAAGTCCTAAACTGCAGTCCATTTTGCATATTAAGAACAATGGATTATATAATTATGCATTATTGGCATTGCATTAGATATTTTATGTAATCAATTTTGTTGGTGCATTGGGAAAATTTATCTTCTAGATTAGTTTGTAAAATATTTTTTATAAAATTCTACATAAAGTAAGAATTAATGAGAAATAATTGCTTTACTGTTTTAATATCTAAACTTCTCAGTTACTCAATCTTAACAGATTAAACGTCATTAAATGTACATATTTTATAAATTACTTGATCATTACTAAATTTATCTTTCTCACACTTCTGAAACACACATTGGTTAATCTAGGGTATACCTCAATTTTCTTAATTTTGAGAAAGATGAATTTATTTTTGTGTGCATTTCTGAAACAGTGTTATATGATGATTAATTTGAACCAGTTTCTTTGTCTTTACCACATTTTGGCTGCTGCTTTGTGCTCCTCTGTTGTCTAACATTCTGTAACTTTCCAGAAATATCAAGCGGAATGCTTCCATAGGAAGGATGCCTGATGTAACACATATGGAAGTTAGAATCACATGAGCATGTGGTGAAATGTTTATGTTCAATATTCCCAGAATAATTGCAGCTTTTGTTTTCAATTAAATATAAAAAGTGATAATGGACACATTACTTACATGAAGCATTGTTATTATTTAATTTCTAGTGCTCTTTATTGCAGATTTTTATTCTGTGATCACTAAATAGTGCAGAGAAGAAATTAAAAATAAACCTCAAGTGTTTTGAACTCATATCCTGAAGAGCCTGTGTTTTCATCTCAGTGCCATAAATTTGTTTGCCCATCACTAAGAGTGCTGTTTTTGACAAGTATTTGTTCCATTTTAAAATTTCATGAAATATTATTAGTGTTGATGTTTTTTTTTTTTTTTTTTTTTTTAGATTGTAAGGTAGGATGAAGTCAGTAATTCTTGCTCAGAAAAGGCATTGGAAATTTGTTAAACCCACAGTGTATGCTAAATTTAGAAATCTTCAATCTTTCTATAAAAGAATTTGTGGCAAAAATCCCCAAATGGCATGTTAAACAATTATGAAACTTTTAAGATGACTAGAAAATACTTGATAAGTGATTTTTGTTTTTCCAATTTAGTGAGTACCAGTTTTATCTATTGCAGGTGAAACCTCCGACAATAAACAAAATATTAACTGACTACAATTTGTCTCCGAAAAGAATGGCCAGTAAGTAAAACCAAGGATTTTTTTTTTTTTTTTTTTTAGTAAAATTTAAAGGAATGCATAATACTTAATTCTATAAAAGCTATATTTTTTGCTGTTATTTAGGACTAAATATATTTAAAAACTTTCTATCTCAAAAACCATGTTTAACAATACCACATTGTGACATTTTTATTAAGCTTTGGGATCCACACATTAAAAAAATATATTAGAATTCAATTTATATCATTTTTTATTATCTTCTCTTCAAATTAAATTTTGTTTTCCTTTGTCATATGTTGTTAAATACTGGATTGTAGACATTGTTCAGTGTTAAAACTGAGGCTGAAACTTTATCTTTTAAGTTTGGGATCATAATTTATTTTGTGTGTGTGCGTGTGCATGCATAATTGCAATACGAGATAGACTATATGAAAAACTAACTTCATTTCTATCAAGAAACCACAATTTTAAGCAAAATATTGAAAATGATTTGAAATGGGTTAAGGGATACATGAGTAAAATGAGGGGAAATCCCCTCACTTATATGTAAACTGATTTTATCAAATATCTCTTCTCTTTAGCCAAAAAGATTTTGTGTGTGTATGTGTATGCATGCGTGCACACATAGACATCCTTGCCTTGCTTGATGGGATTTCTGATGTAGGGTTAGCACTTCTTCCTTGTATTATTGTTTCTTTTATGTACCATGCCAAGGATCAGTGTCACACCCTTGTACTAGCTTAGTGAAGTATCTGTGCTCTTTGGAAAAAAATCAATCTATTCTCTCTCTCTCACTCTCACACACACAGGTACTGTTTCTGTATGTGAATTATTACCCTGAGTAATGTTTTAAGATGGGTTTTTCTTTACATACTATTGAATAAAAGGTATGTTTTAAAAATAAAAACAAATAAGTGAATTTTTTTATATTCTTTTTCAGCTAAATGTGTAAATGGAGAAACTTATGAAACCTCCGAAGAGTCCACTAACACCTCGTCTTTACGAAAAGGGCGTATGCCTTTTAGTGAGCTAAGTTCCTCAGATAGCAGTCTCAAAATAGAATCTCCTGTCAAAACTTCACCCAGAAAAGAACGTCAAAGTCGATCTGCTACTCCCAAATCTGCAAAGCTTGATCGAAATAAAGTTACTGAAAATGTTGACCAGAGTTCTCAAAACACATCTCAAGAAATTTCACAAAGTTCACCAAAATCTTCTGTCATGACTAAACGTTTAGACAAGAAAATTGAAAGTGAATCAGCAATTCAAAGTCGTCCCACTACTCCTCCTCAGAGTTCATCCACTTCTAAATCTCCAGCACGTCATAAGTCTGCACGTACCACACCTATAAATGTTGATGAGACCTCCTCTAAAATCTCAGATTCTGAATCTTCTGATACACCAGCTTCTCGGCGTAAATCTCATTCCTTAACACCAAAATCTTCTCCAACAGATTCAAGTAAAAAAATCAGTTCTCCTTTCTCGAAAGTTTCAAGTCCTAAGACCTCCATGGTCACATCAAAGAAAACTAAAGAACCTGCCAATCAAATTTGTACAAAAAGAACATCAGAAAGTGAGAAAACTCATGGTTCATTAAAACCAATAGAAATTAGTTCTAAAAGTTCTGCTCTTGGCTCTTTGAAAAAGAGCCCCAAATCTGAAAGTCCAAAAGGTGCTGAACTAATTGGCAGAGCCTTGTCTCCCAAGATGTTGCTCACTGTTGCTCCATCTGGTGATATAAGCTTTGCAGGTAAGAGATATTTCTTTGTTGACTTATGATAGTCATTATTTATCAGAATTTCAGCTACTACAGCTAGAATTAGATAAATGTAAAACTAAATTGCAATTTTTATAGAATTCACTTTGTGGTGAGTGGTTCACAAATTGACTTTATTTTGGTATACAAAATGAAAATGTAAAAATTAATTGAAGGATTATTTTGTAGTTTTTAGTTATAGGCTTGGAGTAATTGTCAATTTGATTTTTCATATTTTAGCAAGTTTAATTTTGAAATTTCTTTTTCTTTTTTTTTTTCTTTTTTTCTTTTAGATTCTAAAAGAGGATCTGGAAACAGAAAGAGGAAGTTTTCAACTGGATTAAATATGCCAAGTGCGAAACGTAAAAGGGTATCTTTTGGACCACAACTTAGTCCAGAGCAATTTGATCGAACTTTACCACCAGCAACTCCCGTCAGAAAGGGTGCTACACCTGCCAAGAGATCATCAACTCCTGGTAACAGGCCATTATTAAAAAGAAATTCTATAGCGCATAGTACTGATCTTAATGTCACATTACAAGTGCCTTCATCTAAATCTGTTAAGTCCAATCCCAGATCTTTGTCGAAGGTGTCTCCCAAGTCCACACCCAGATCTTTGTCGAAGGCATCTCCCAAGTCATCACTGAAGCCATCTCCCAAAACCACTCCTAGGTCTTCTCCGAAATCGTCTCCCAAGGCCACTCCCGGGTCTTCGCCGAAATCATCTCCCAGGTCTTCGCCGAAATCTTCTCCCAAGGCCACTCCCAAGTTGTCGCCGAAATCTTCTCCCAAGGCCACTCCCAGGTCTTCGCCGAAATCTTCTCCCAAGGCCACTCCCAGGTCTTCGCCGAAATCTTCTCCCAAGGCCACTCCCAAGTTATGCTTGAAATCTTCTCCGAGGCCACTCCAATTGCATCACTTAAATCCTCTACCAAGGCCCTCCCGGATTGGTCGCCCGGAAATCTTCTCCCAAGGCCACTCCCAAGTTGTCGCCGAAATCTTCTCCCAAGGCCACTCCCAAGTTGTCGCCGAAATCGTCTCGCAAGGCCACTCCCGGGTCTTCGCCGAAATCGTCTCGCAAGGCCACTCCCGGGTCTTCGCCAAAATCGTCTCGCAAGGCCACTCCCGGGTCTTCGCCGAAATCGTCTCCCAAGGCCACTCCCAGGTCTTCTTCAAAATCGTCTCCCAAGTTGTCTTCAAAATTGTCTCCCAAGCCATCTCCCAGGTCCAAGACCTCTCCCCAGTCTTCTCGTAGTTCTACTCCAAAATTGGTTTTATTTAAACCATCTCCTAAATTTTCACCAAAACTATCCTCTTCCAAATCTACAAAAACCACACCAAACTCTACTTCTAAAATTCCATCAAGATCTACATCAAAGCCATCTCCAAATGAGTCTGCTTTGAAGGCACTTTCCAAGGCAAACCTCAGGTCTTCTTTGTCTTCACCAAAAGCTACTCCTGATTTACTTAAGCAATCTCCTGATCTTAAGCCTAAACAGTTCCCTTCAGATTCTGAGGTTCAGACTTCCATCAATGCTACACCAAAGTCTGCTACTAATTTGGCATCAAAAGCTCTACCCAAGATATCTCCAAGAGCCACTCTCAAACTAGATGTAACTAACCCATCTTCAAAATTTTCTCCTGAATTGTCTCTTCCCAAGTCTGAATCAAAAGCATTCAAAAAAGCCACACCCAAGTCTACATCCAGGACATCTCTAAAGGCTTCTGTTTCTGTATCAAAGAGATCACTAAGAGGCACACCTAAATCAGTTCCTGTATTATCTCTGAAATTTTCACCTGAGCAGTCTCTTTCCAAGTCCACAATATCTCCAATTGCTATATCTATTTCTGCATCAAAAACCTCAAGAGCCTCTCCTAAATTAGTTGTTTCAAAGCCATCTCCTAAATTTTCACCTAAATTATCGAATGCCAAGTCTCCTCAGACCCCTCCTAAGGGTACTCTTGAATTGGCTACACTTGACCCATCTCCTAAAATTTCCCCTAAACTTTCCACTCGTAAGACTGCATCTGAAATATCTAATTCTGCACCCAAGGTCTCTTCAAGGGCCACTCCTAAATTAGTAGTACCTAAACCATCTCCTAAATTTTTGCCTAAAGGATGCTCACCCAAGTCTGTAGGTAGAAGGTCACTAAGAACCAGGTCTGAGTCTACATCTAGCAAGGCAACTCCAAAGCTTGTGCACAGAGCATCACTGAATATCACTCCGAAATCTGTGTCTGAGGATTTAACAAGAATTACCCCCAAAAAGTCTGTGACAAGTGTACTGTCAGCAACTTCCCCAAAAGCTACACCCAAGTCTGTCTCCCCAAAAGCCACATCTGAATCTATGCTTAAATCATTGCAAGAAGCCATCCCCACATCAGCACCTAGGTCTTCGCCAAGGGCCACCTTGGCATCTGCATCGAAGTCTTCACCAAGAGCCACTCCAGCACCTTCACCTAAGTCTTCACCCAGGGCCACACAGGCATCTGTATCAAGGTCTTCAAAGAGAGCCAGCCTGATGTCTACGCCCAAATCTTCGTCAAGGGTCACACCATCTGTATCAAGGTCATCGCGGAGGGTCACCTTGGCCTCTGTGCTCAGATCTTCAGTTGGAGCTGCGCCCAAGTCTTCGCCAAGGGTCACGCCAGCGTCAGCGCCCAAGTCTTCGCCAAGGTCACGCCAGCGTCAGCGTAAAGTCTTCGCCAAGGGTCACGCCAGCGTCAGCGTAAGTCTTCGCCAAAGGGGTCGCCCAGCGTCAGCGCCCAAGTCTTCGCCAAGGGTCACGCCAGCGTCAGCGCCCAAGTCTTCGCCAAGGGTCACGCCAGCGTCAGCGCCCAAGTCTTCGCCAAGGGTCACGCCAGCGTCAGCGCCCAAGTCTTCGCCAAGGGTCACGCCAGCGTCAGCGCCCAAGTCTTCATAAAGGTCACGCCAGCGTCAGCGCCCAAGTCTTCGCCAAAAGTCACATAGCGTCAGCGTAAGTCTTCGCCAAGGGTCACGCCAGCGTCTGTATTGAGGTCCTCAAAGAGGACCACACCTGCATCTGTGCACAGGTCTTCATCAAAGTCCTCTCTTAAGTTTGTTGTGCACAAGCCAGCTCTAAAATATTCACCTAAACTGTCCAGTCCCAACTCTGCATCTTGGATGTCTTCAAAGTCCAGCATCTCTCAAAGTCCAAAGACATCTCTCAATATCACTTCTTTATTAGTGGTGCCAAAGCAATCTCCACGTAAATCGTCTACACCAAAGGTGTTATCAAAGGATACTCCTAAATCTTCTGTTAAACTTAACACCCCAAAATCTACCAGGGTATCACGAACATCTACTTCTCAAAAGCTTATGCCTCCAAAATCTAGTGGTAAAAAATCACATACACTAAAGAAAAAAACCCCAAAAAAAACATTATGGTCACATGTTGTCAAATTTGGAGTTTCCAAGAAAGCTGATCTCGTTAAAAAATCTGTTGTTAAACAAACTGCAAAAAAGCAAGTACTAAAACAGACTTCACAAAAGGTAAGTATATTTATCTACCTCATCAGATGTAGGAAAGCTTTCTGATTTTAATAAATTTTATTAAAACTATAGATATTTTAATACTTGTTTTCAAACCACATTTTTCTATTTGATTTAGATTTTGTTGCAACAGTTTTAAAGCACTAATTTTTAATTTATTGATATTTACTTAGCTAAAGCATAAGGCTTACAAATAAAAATTGTTTTTTCTGTGATCATCATTATCTGTGATACTAGTTGACTTACCATTACACCACGGTAAAGAACTCATATTTTATTAATTTACTAATTTTAAAAGGAAATTTTTGTTAAGCCAATTTGCAAGTTTTTGTTGAAAATCTGAATTAGAGAAAACTGTTGTTTTAGTAAATAAGTTTTATTAATGTTGCTTTCCATTAAAACTCTGCTAAAAGGATGTTTCTAGGTAGATTACTTTATTGTACCTACTAGCAGTATAACCCATCTTTGGCCAGGACTTTCATTACTGGGAATTTTTGCTGTTCAATTGGAGGATGGCCCTAAAAAGGAACTATATAATAATAAATATTATTGTAATAATTTAAACTTTATTTTTATTAAAGTTTTTATGAAAGATATATATCCAAGAACAGATAGTAAAACGTTGCTGAGAGTTATAATGGACAGGAAGTAGTGGAGGGCCATTGGTGGCAACAATTTGAACTTAAAACTATCAAACAAAAAAAAATTTCATTGAAACCGGATGAAACTGGAAATGCATAAAAATCTGATCACACACATACATACACATTTTGAGAATAATAGATAAACTATGCAAGATATTTACTCTAATCTTAAATCCTGTTTACAAATTTGATTGGAAGTTTGGGCATTTATATAGCATATGTTTTTGATAATACAAATTTTTTTCAAATATGTTAGTTGTAATTAAAATATGCAGTTTCTTTGGTCTTTATATTTGATGAAAGCTGTTTTTTGAATGCATATTTTTTTTCTTTCATTGCTATTTTAAAAATGGCATAAAAGTACTTTCATAATTTTAAAATACTACTTATGATATTATTATTATTATTATTATTATTAAAGTTCAAATAAAAAAAGATACTTGGCAATTTTTCAGCTTTAGTTTTAGTAGCTAAAAATGTGATAAGTTTTTTTGTGGAGAAAAAAAAATTACTCAAAAAGCATAAATTTTATATAAATGTTATTTTACATTTCAGAAAATCTATCCCATGACTCCTCGTCAAAAAGCTCTGATATCTTACCCAAGCACAGGTCATGTAGATTCTCCGTCAACTATTCTTGTTGGGAAAAGTATGAGATATCCAAAGGTTCGTCTTTATCATTGGAATTTAAATTTCATTTATGACTTAAAAACTTCTGATAATATGTTTTATCAAATCTTACTGGGAAGCCAGTTCTGCATATTGCTTCATTTAAGTTTCATCTTTTTTTGTATTAATATCTTATAAAAGATGTAAGACTCAATAATTAACATATATAGAATATGAATTTGGTTATGATATTGTGATATTGTATATTCATGTAATTGGTCATAAACTATTTATGCATTTTAAATAAAAATTGAATTTTTTTCCTTCATTAACAAAATTTAAATGGTCATTTTATTACAAAATATTATGTTTTTCATTTAATTGCACAATTAAGCTCCAAAAATTATTTAATGCTTGCTGATAAGCAGTTTTATATATTACAGTGCAAGGTTGTTTGCAGAAATGTAGTTATTCACTTTATCACAACTATGAGTTAATATTTTTTTTTAATTTTCTTGTAGTTTACTGTGTTATCAAATTACAAAAAAAAAACTTTTCTGGATAAATGCTTATGTATCTACATTTATTTTTCTCCCAGGCTTCAAAATACTTAAAACGTAGTAAATCTCCAGGCTTAAATAAATCATTTGAAGAAAACCTGTATGATATGATTCCAGACAGCCCTGCTGCACCAACTTACATGTTTGTATCTCCATTGAAATCTGATACAAGTACAGATGTTACTATTTCTGAAGTAGAAGAAAATACTAGCCAACTTGTAAACATGTCTAAGCGCAGAGGGTCAGGTAAACCAATTGGAGTAAAAGTATTGTCACATACATCAAGACGCAGACAGTCGGACAGATTGAATGAATGAAGAACAAGAAGGCGTAAAATGCATGAACAATCTGACAAACTAATTGGCGTGAAAGAACTAGCCAAGACACCAAAACGCAGACAGTCGGACAAAGTGGTCGGAGTGAAAGAACTAACCAAGACACCAAAACGCAGACAGTCCGACAAACTGGTTGGAGTGAAAGAACTAACCAAGACACCAAAACGCAGACAGTCCGACAAACTGGTCGGAGTGAAAGAACTAACCAAGACACCAAAACGCAGACAGTCGGACAAACTGGTCGGAGTGAAAGAACTAACCAAGACACCAAAACGCAGACAGTCGGACAAACTGGTCGGAGTGAAAGAACTAACCAAGACACCAAAACGCAGACAGTCCGACAAACTGGTCGGAGTGAAAGAACTAACCAAGACACCAAAACGCAGACAGTCCGACAAACTGGTCGGAGTGAAAGAACTAACCAAGACACCAAAACGCAGACAGTCAGATAAATTGCTTGGAGTGAAAGAAATGTTTCATACCCAGATCGAGAAAATTCCAATGTTAGCTGGTGTGCGAAAATCTTGTTCTCCTAAATCTCTCTCAAGTCCAAATACACGTGGATTAAAAGAATTATTTCATGAAAACAATGTACGGATGTCTAATGAAGGTTTAGAAGTAATAAAGGATTTCTTTAAATCTCCCCAGATTGTTACAAAATTAAATCAGTCTCTTTCAAAATCTGATAATAATGAGAATGAAGACAAATATGTTTCTGATGAGAAAACGAGAAGAGCAGTGAAAAAGAAAGATGCTGTCGCAAACAAAAAGGCAACTAAACGTTCAGCTGGAGAAGCTAACCTATCTGATGCTGAAACAATAGCAGTTATTCCTCCTGATAAGAAGTCTAAGAATGAAATTGTTTGTCCTGAAAATCAACAAAGTACAAGAAGAAACAGAAATCTAATACGTATTCCGGAAACAGCTAAACTTAGTGAAAACATTGAAACAAGCACAAGAACTCCCACAAGAAGCACAAGGAAAAGTATAAATGATCTAGAAACTATTGTGCCTACCAAAAACACTGAACCTATTGCAAAAACTCCCACAAGAAGCAATAGGAAAAGTATAAGTGACCCAGAAACTACTGAGCCTACTGAAAACACTAAAACAACTACTAAAACTCCCACAAGAAGCAATAGAAAAAGTACAAGTGATCCAGAACCTACTGAACCTGTTGTAAAAACTCCCACAAGAAGCACTAGGAAAACTGCAAGTAATCCAGAAATTACTAAGCCTACTAAAAACACTGAGCAGGTTGCAAAAACTCCCACAAGAAACACTAGGAAAAGTACAAGTGACGCAAAAACTACTAAGCCTACTGAAGATGCTGAAACAACTACTAAAACTCCCACAAGAAGCAATAGGAAAAGTACAAGTGAAACTACTACACCTACTGAAAACACTGAACCTGTTGCAAAAACTCCTACAAGAAGCAATAGGAGAACAGCGACAAGTAATCCAGAAAGTACTAAGCCTACCGAAAACACTGAACAGGTTGCAAAAACTCCCACAAGAAGCACTAGGAAAACTACAAGCGATCCAGAAACTACTAAGCCTACTGAAACAAGCACAAAAACTCCCACAAAAAGCACAAGGAAAAGTATAAGCGATGCAGAAACTACTGAGCCTACTGAAAACACTAAAACAACTACTAAAACTCCCACAAAAAGCACAAGGAAAAGTACAAGTGAACCAGAAACTACTACACCTACTGAAAATGTTGAACCTGTTGCAAAAACTCCCACAAGAAGCACTAGGAGAACGGCAACAAGTGATCCAGAAAGTACTAAGCCTACCGAAAACACTGAACAGGTTGCAAAAACAAGAAGCACTAAGAAAACTACAAGTGATCAAGAAACTACTAAACCTAGTGAAAATACTGTACTTGTTTCAAAAACACCCACTAGAAGCACCAGAAAAACTGTAAGTGATCTGGAAACAAATAAGCCTGCCAAAAACACTGAACCTGTTGCAAAAACTCGCACAAGAAGCACTAGGAAAACAAGTGTTCCAGAAATTACTAAGCCTACTGAAAATACTGAACTGGTTACAAAAATTCCCACTCGAAGCACCAGAAAAATTACAAGTGATCCTGAAATCACTGAACCTGTTTCAAAAACACCTACTAGAAGCACTAGAAAAACTGTAAGTGATCCAGAAACACATAAGCCTGCCAAAAACACTGAACCTGTTGCAAAAACTCCTACAAGAAGCACTCGGAAAACTACAAATGATCCAGACACAACTAAACCTATAGAAAACACTGAAATGGTCACAAAAACCACCACTAGAAATACTAGGAAAACAAGTGTTCCAGAAATTACTGAGCCAGTCACAAAAATTCCCACTAGAAGTACCAGAAAAACAAGTGATTCAGAAAATACTAAGCATACAGGAAAGACTGAACTGGTTGCAAAAACTTCCACTAGAAACACCAGAAAAACTACAAGTGATCCAGAAACTACTCAGTCTGCTAAAAACTCAGAACTGGTCATAAAGTCTCCTGCTATAACCACAAAGAAAACAAGTGTTCGAGAAACTACTAAACCTACTGAAAGTGCTGAACCTATCAATAAAACTTCCACAAGAAGAACAAGGAATACTGCAAATGTTTTGGAAATTATTGAGCTGGTTACAAAAACTTCCACCAGAAGCACCATAAAAGCTACAAATGTTCCAGAAACTACTAAGCCTGCTGAAAACACTGAACCAATCACAAAATCTTCCACTAGAAGCACCAGGAAAACTACAGTTGTTCCAGAAACTACTAAGCCTTCTGACAATACTGAACCAGTTACAAAAGCTTCCACTAGAAGTGTTCAAAAGGATCCCAAAACAACTGAACTACTTACCACAGCTTCTATCAAAAGCCCCCAGAATGTTGCAAAAGTGTCAAAAACTCTCACAAGAAGCACTAGAACTGCTACAAATAAGCCAGAAACTACTGAATTTGTAATTCCTGTAAGAAGCACCAGAAATGCTCCAAAAGATGAAAAAATTGCTAAATTTACTGAAGCAGTAATCACCACTGCCACAAAAAGCAGCAGGAATGCTAAAAGTGTTCATAAAATAACTAAATCTATTGAAAACACTGAATCCACAACAGTTTCCACAAGAAGCACAAGGAATACAACAATTGATCAGAAATCTAAGGCCCCAAAATACATAGAATTAGTTAAATCACCTATAAAAAGTATGCATAAAATGAGACAAATATCATTACCAAAACTGTCATCAGTGAATGCATCAACAGATAAAAGTGTTTTAGTTAATGAAGTTGAAGTAAAGAAAGTTACCAGAAGTAAAAGAGTAGCAGAAGACATCACTGAAAAGACTGCTGTTATCACCTCACCTGTTCGTAAGACAAGAAGTGGGCAAAACAAGAAAACTGAACCAGTCGTTGAGAAAGAAGTGGCTGAAGAAAATGTCAGAAAGTCTTCTCGGGGGACCAGGCAGATAGCCAACAAGCCAGTTGCAAAGGATGGTTCTACTCTTGTAAGTAATTTATTCGCCCATGTCTTTCCCATCAACAAAGAAAGATATATATATATATATATATATATATATAAAGATGTATCAGTAGCTGGTCATTTTTTATGAACTTTATGAAAATAAAAAGTTTCATTTTGCAAGAATTCTCCTTGCAATTTCAAGTTAACTTTATATAATTTAAAATAAAATTTATCTTCTTTCTGATTTGTACAGGAAAAAATTTTATTTTTTGTCTTCCAAAACTTTGTTTACCTTTTTCATTTTAGGTTTGTTTTTTCTTGGCATTTTGTCAATTAGTTGCATAAAATAAGACCAAAACATTTAGTGGCTGATATTTCCAATTAATGATCTGTAGCAACATACTTCAAAGTTTCTCTTTTTCTCTCTTGCTTTCATAGGAGTATTGGCAAATAAATTCTTAGTTGAACTGTAAACCAAAATTTAGCACTGGAAAGATAAAACCATGACAAATATTGAGATTTTTTAATTTTTGCTTTTCAGAAACCTATTTCCAAGAAGACCACTGAAAAAGTTGAAGAAACTGAGTCAGTAAGGTAAATACATTGAGTTATTAAATATCTTAGAAAGTTTAGCTGAAAATAACTTTAATAGCCTTACTAATATATGTGGCATAATGCTGTCAGATATATAATTTTATAGAGGTATTATAAAATGTAACCAATTTGTACATTCCTACACACAGTATTTTAAATAGTAATTACTGACTTGAAGCAATAACTAAGCATGAAACAACAAATAAACATTACACTGAATTTAAGATTTGATGCTAGATTTAGATTTCTGTTGGCATATTAATATGGTGTGAAAACAAAATTTGAGTAAGTTTTCCCCTTTTATTTCATTTTATTTTTTTTAAAGAATTTTTATTTTAATATGGGATTTGCTCCATCTTATCATGCTTCTTTTTTTTCTCCCCTTATGTTGCAGGAGAGTTACTAGAAAAAGGTCAGCAGACACTTCACTAACAGCACCTAAAATCAAAACTGCAAAGATTGAGCCTGAAACTAAATCCAAGTATGTATTACTGCATACACATACAAAGAGTATTATTGAAAAGTTCTCAGTTTGGAATTTCACAAAAAAGCAAAAAAATAGATAGGAAGCAGCATAATTAAGCAGAAAATATTAAAGTTTAATAGAAAATATTTTTTGATTTAATTTAATCATGCACATGACTGCTCAATTTTTCAATGCAGTGAACAGATATTGTAAATAGTGTCAGTTGATTTCTGAGAAAAATTTATAAACGAAGTTGCAAAATTAAGTACAATTGGTCAGAAACATGTTTTCTGGTACCCTGGATGTATACAGTTGCAGTGTGCTGTAATTGTTCTCAATACACAAAAAATCTTTACACTTAAAACCCTTGAGAAAAGGCCATAGGTAGGGTTCTATCTACACACTACCATATTGCTTTCTTTTGTTACTGGTAGTCTATAATTGTTAATGGTTAAAAAAAAGTTGACACAAGCAGTAAATAATGTAACTTCTATAGTCAACTATGACAGAATCAGTATTCACACATGTACATATATAAAATGTAAGGAGGTAATGAGATCTTGGTCTGAGCAAGAAGCCCTTTCCCCTATACAAAATTGTTTTTATCACTTGGTAAGAGTTTGAGTTAATCAGGACGAGTACTTTTCAGCATCCTCTCATGTAATTTCTCCCATGGTCAGGGTGATCCGAAAGTAATGCCTCCTATCTTATTTTGATGAATGCTAGAAGCGGGTATATTTAGTATAACGGTAGAGCTTCCTGTCAATAACCAAAATATCTTCTGATGTGAAAGTACATAAATATCTCCTTGAATTCCTCCATGTGGAAAAATTGCACCCATTAACTTTGATCAACACATGCTGAACATTTACAGACCAAGAAGTAAGCATTTAGGCAGTGACACACCAGTTATCAACTCATGTAGTGTAGTGCTTCAAAGGTGCATAACCAGTGTTGGTGACTGTCTAAAAATGTTGTTTTGTAGCTGAAAACTTACACTGTCCAACAGTATCATGCTGCTTGTATCCATTGTCATTTGCATGGAAATAAATAGGAGGCTTCTCTTTCAAACACACTTTTTCTGTTTCTCTCTAATGGGTGGCAATAAGTGAACCCGTGCTCAATATCCAATTTAGGTAAAACTACTATTTATTAAATATTATAAAAGTAAAGAACGGAAAGACAAAGCTAGCTGTATCACAGGAAAAAAATCCATAAATCAGGATATAATGACATAACAGATATAATCTATATTTATACAGTTTATTACTATTCCTAAAAGATTTAACATTTTCTGTGTAGGCAGTTATAATTACTTTACCAATTAAGATTAATTTTTTGCAGGTTTAGTTTTTTTTTTAGCTAACCAAACATTTTAATAAATATGATCAAAGATATTTCTAGAGCAGTATTGTCCAACCTTTTTCCTAATGGGCCAAATTAGAAATTTAGGTATATTCACTGAACCACAAAAGTACTTTATATAAATATGCTTTTAAAAAGTTCAAAATGTTGCAAATATCAAATTTTAATAACAAATATATATGATTACAGAAAATACTGTATTATTGACAGTAAAAAATAAATAAATAATACATAAATAAAATAAATTCAATTAAATTTTTGACATTGCTTTCCTTTTTTATTTAGCTCTAGCTGCACACCAGCTGGTGTGTCTCAGCAAAGTGTTTGCCTACTTTTAGTGCAATGGGGAAGTGAACATACTAGCACAATCTGAGAATATTTTTCTTGAGTTAAGTTACTAAAGTAAATGAAAATATACCTAAACAATTTTATGATGCAATAAAATTTTCTTAAGTATAATGGTTTAACATAATAGAAAAAGCATAGATTTTTTTCCATTTGATTTTGAATTCATAAGTGATTTCTATTCTTGTATATTCTAAAAAATATTGCAGATGTCTTTTTCTTTTTGTGAACATATGTTATATAGATTTTTATTAAATAATTGTTACTTCTGATGTTTGATTTTGATTTTTTTCTTTGACTTCAACAGAAAAACTCGAGCCAAAAGAGCTGAAAGACCAGGTAAATATTAACATTGTCCTGTGCATAACTGAACTAAGTAGCACAAAAATTACCATTAACTGCATCCTACTGTTTGTTTTTAAATGAATTAAATCTTTTCTAATTTTAGCACATAAAAAGAATTCAAAACTTTCAATTGAGGCCATTGTAAAAAAATAAATAAAAAATATCTACAAGCTTGAAAGGTATAACATAATCAAATAGTTTTTTTTTTTTTTTTTTTTTTTTTTTTTTTTTTTTTGTTTGTTTTTTTTACCAAATCAGCATATCTAAATTGTAATTAATATTAAATATAAACATACTACTCCCTACTGAATAGAATTTTAAGCCTGAAATTATAATCTTAACCTCACCATCTACAATCACTTGTAAATAGCTTGCTTGTAATTAGAAAATTAAAATAAATCTTTTTAATAGCATCAATAAGACTATACAAGATACATTACTGGATTTAGGTAGTTCATAACCAGGGCGTCAGCAAAGTTGAAGACTTGATATAAAGTTCATTCAGACATGCAAAAAGTCAATTCATAGTCCATTTGTAAAAATCCCCAGTATTTTGTCATCATTAGTTTACTATGCTGAAGATTGTTGTATACTTATTACACAGATATAATACTGGTATAGTGATTTTCTGTTTATTCATAATATAGACTTTTATGGTTGTTTATTCTCCTTAATCACTCCATGCCTGTTCATTGATTCAGCAGTCGGCCTTAACCTGACATTGACTAATTTCTTGTAATTATCTCAAGTTTCCAAAATTCTTTTTTTACCTTCCATTGATTTATCTGCAAGTTTAATAGCTTTATACTTCATTTATTGGAGCTGACATTACTTATTACTCAGTTAAAATCTTGTATCAGTCAAGTTGGCTACCAGTTTCATGCAAACAAATTGGAAGGTTGAGTATCATTCATAATGTCTTACAAAGAAGCCATTTCACAATAAGTATGTGATTACTTCATAGCCTGATTCAACATACTGGCATCAAGTACTAGAAAGCACTAATTCATTTCATTGAAGTGATGACAATAGGATTTCATTATCAGTTACTGTTGTCATTAGATAAGAACTTCAGTATTAACCACTATTTGGATGCAGTTAAAAATTTATCTAAATGTAATTTGTTACTAATTAACTAGAATTCATAACTTTTCTTTTCAAATGTCTTTTTTAATTTGATTTGTATAAATATTCAGAATTTGAACATTTATATAAATGTTTCTGTAGTAGATATTTTCAATGTGAATTTATTTTAGTTTTTCTAATCTCAATTTTTTTTTCTTTTAATGAAATATTTAGCTTTTTAACACTTTTGCTTATCTTACAGCTGAAGAGAAACCCATTTCTCCAATAGCAAGCCGGAGTAGGAGAGTACAGTTTCAAGAAATTGAAAATGTTGAGGTGGAATCGGCCACCAAAGCAAATGTAAGAAAGCAAGGTTCCAAGACTGTTGTTGAACCTGAAACTGAAAACAAGGCACCTAGATTAGTTACTAGACAGGCCTCCTCAAAAGCTAAAACAGAAGTAGACTCAGAAGAAACAGCTGCTGTGAAGACTCGTTCAAAGCAAAATGCTGGTACTAAGGTTGCTGTTAAAAAAACAGTCAGTACCAAATCTGTATCTCCAGTGAAAAGAGTCACTCGGTCACGGCGCTGAAATAGTAATTTTTTTTAATTTTTTTTTTATTTTTTTAAATTGTATGAGTGTGAATCTTATTTCAATTCTCTCACTGAGTTTTCTACTTGGTTGCATGAATGTGTCAGGCAAATTGGACTTGGCAGCTATTATATTTGTAAATACTTTTTTTTAATAAATACTTCCTTAATCTGAAAATTGATCAGTAATAAACTATCAGATATAATTTAATATTCCTCATTCAAATATATGCACTTGAATACTTTTGGTAGTGGATTGATGTTTTTCTTTTTAAGGTTGTATGAAAAAGATTTTGTTTAAAAAGTCTTCCAAATAGTCTGTCTTTGATATCAGTTCACTTCTCATTTCCTTTTTGAATACTTGATTATTTTTCTAATTTTACTATAGAAAATCTTTCAGATTATGATCACTCCTCCATTTGCCATGGAGATGTTACCACCTAAAAATTATATAATATTGCTTTTTTTTTTTTTTTTTAAACTAAGGAAGATATTGGTTTTATTGAGAATGAAATGAAAATTCCTGTATAGAAATGATGTCCTATAATTTCTATATATATATATTTTATAAAACCAACTGATTCTATCAAAACTAAATAGAAAATATTTATCACTTTATTTTTAACCAGGGGATTTTTTTTTCTTCCTTCTTGTACACATTAAGCCTTTAACAACATTATTTTCTACCTCCATTAAATATCACATGGATTAACATAAAAATTATAAATTCAGATCTTGTAAGATTTTTGTCTCTTATCCAAAGGAGCATTATTTTTCTAATTCATTTTAAATATGGATTTAAAAAAAAAAAAATAAAAAAATATTTCATATTCAAATGTTGCATTTTTCTTTTTCAAAGTATCACATCGAACCAGCTCTTCACTGCCAATGTTTAAAGGATAAAGAATATCTTGAATGATCAAGACTATTTTCATGAGAGTGGGTCAATATGCATGCGTAATAACATTCATCAAACTAGGATTCTGTCACCATTAACTAAGTATCTTTCCTTTTTCCTCTGTAATTCAAATGGAAAAGTAATTGTATATTGTGTATATTCCAAGCTTAATATTTTAAATTCTTTTAATAAAGTTTCATCATTTTATCTCTGTACTCAACTTCTTCATCCTTATATCAAACATTGAAAACATTTACCATCTCATTAAAATTTTCTTCACTTTCTAAAATATCATTTTTTATTTTTATTTTTATTTTTTTTTTGTATATAATGATGCTTATGTATTAAAATATTAAAAAGAGGAAAAAAAGACTTTCTTTTTCTTTTTTGTTAAAATCCTTAATGTTTCTAGACAGTGCAACACATTCAGATGAAGTTAATTTAATGTAAATTGCTTTATTGCATGTGTCAACAATTGTAAACATACTTGATAAAATTAAGTTGAAAGTATCAGTTATCATCAGTTGAATGGGATTGTTCTACTAGGAGGCCGCCATACTTGCTGGGGTTCTGAATCGTAAAAATATTTCAAATGATGTAATTCTTTTTTCTTTACTTCCTGCTTCAGTTGTTCTTCCTACAAAAAATTGAAAAGAAAAATAATAAAAATTATCAAGAACAAAATTCTCATTAAATACCACTGAAAAGAATTCTGATAAGACTGAACTGATTTATTTTATATTTTTGCCATGAATAAATGGAAATCTGAAAGTCTTAATTTGTTTGGGTGCAGAGGATTTAAAAGTTATTCAATGTAGACTTAATCATGTTTTGTCGACCAAGACAGCATTTTTTAAAATAAGGAATAACCTACTTCACTTTTTGATATATTGTCTTTTTGCCTTTAAGATGTCATAATAGACCGTTTTTCAAAGTCTGCTCACAAAGACTTGGGTTTAGATGTTGAAGTATAGTTTCAACATTTAAACAGAATAAATTTTGACAGTAGGCTTTGCCATTGATGATGGTTATTCTTGGCAAGTTTTTAATAGCTTTTTGGAAAAGGAAAAATCTATGCTTTTCAGGGTAAAATGTAAACAAAAGGACAAAACTAAAACTTATAAATACTATTAACATAAATATGGACACACTAATGTCTTAAGTTAAAACATGGAAACTAATAAATGCATAACTAATAAATTTATTATATTCCTAGATATGAATCCTGAATTTTATGTATGCCTTATATATCTTAGTGAGAAAGGCAACTAGCTTATTAAAATTTACTACAATCTAAAAATTAAATTGCTGCCTGGAAATAAAAAAATTGTTTTACAGACCTTTCTCCATAGCCATTGTTGATAACTCTCTTCAGAAAGTGTTTCTTTCTGTATCTTGATATAATTCTGTTGCTTTTTCATTAATCTTGTTATTTCCATCTCTTCCTTCTTTTTCTGCAGCAAAATCTTGTCTTTAGTTTGTTTCCTGCAGTAGAAAAATTGTCACCTTTTTAAATTGCACAAAAATTCCTCTATGCTTGTTCCTGTCATAAATACTTAGGTAAAATTAGTCATTTTAGAATTGTTGGGTGCCATCATAAACTTGATTTGTGATTGTCATTGCAAGATAAAAAATGTTGCATTTCCTTTTCAAAGCATATTGTTTCATATTTGTTTATTGTGATAAAAAAAAAAATTCAAAACTGAATTGTGTTTTTTATTCTATGGATGATCAAAAAATAAAACTCTGAATTATGTCTCTTGACATTAAAAAAAAAAAATGTCACTTTTTCAGGATCCCCCCAAATTATTGAAAGTGTTGACTAATATTTTTTGTCTTTTTAATGAAGTTTTTGATGCCATTAGAAATAGTCAACCTAAAGAAATCACTTGGTTAAAGGGTTATAACTGGCCTAAGATATTTCCACAGTTTTTTTAATCAATAATAAACTGGATGGTTTTAATTAGTTCTGGAGGGACAATAGAACTAATTCTGTATATAGAAATCCTAGATTACCTCATGCGGAAAATATAACCAATACTATTGCAGTCATTAATTTTTTTTCTATTATATGTAAAAAAAAATAAATAAATAGGTAAACTTGGTTTATTTAAGTTATTGTCACCCTCATCCAAAAGAAAAATTTTAAGTGAACCCTGACAAGCCACATACCTATATACTAACATGTTAATGAAAATCACGTTAAATTAAGCTTTTACTACAAACTTAGGTTGCTTTTTCTTTTCTTTATTTGCAATGAGTCACTTCTGTTTTTTTATTTTTTTTCAAATTATATTTCAAAGGATAAAAACTAAATATTAACTTTTCTTATGTATTAAAACAAAAACAAAAAAATCTTTGTTACATTTTAATTGTCAACTGAATAACACTTTCTACCCAAAATATTACTGGTGTATTAAATTTCTGGAAACTCCAGAATTTGGAAATAGGAAACAGTCAAATAACCCCACCCACAAAAATAGTATGCAATGTCATTTAAAAGTTAAAAAATTTATTGATGAACTGAAATGTCAAAGTGCAACAATTAATTGAATTATTCATTTACGTTTTTCTTAAATTTTTAACTTGCTGAATTTTTATTTATTATATAGAAGATCTGAATGAAAGATGAAAGTTAAAAAAATTAAATATTCAACAGAAAAACAAAGATAATGTTTGATGATTATGACAATATGGAATCAATTTGGTAACAATAACTTTAAGCTACCGTGTGTATGGTGTGGGGAGACTTGTCAAGGATCCATAGCTTTGAGTTGTAATATGTATTATCATTGGAGACATGGTTGAAAGCCCAGTGCTACTAATATTAGTCATTGCAAAACTAGCAAGTATTGAAAATTAGAATTTACCACCACTGGTCTTTCAAAAGTAACCTCATCTTGACAACCTAGGTTGAGTAGTGTGGGAAGCAAGAGAGTTCAAAATTAGTATCAAGTTTGTCAAGACATACAAAATATTTATTTGCTAAGTAACTACCCAGCCAGTAAATGAAATTTTCTAAATTTATGTTACTGCTAATTTATTTCATATTGAAATGCTAACAACAAGCAACTTGTTCCAACATATGGCATAATATAATTTATTTTTGATATATTTCTGAATCAGACTGAACTATATACTTTTAGTACTCATGTTAGAAATATATCTCAATTTACTCTTAAATATTGCATCTCCAAAACATTGTCAAAATTACTTTAAAAAATATCATTCAGCTGAAGAGAAAAAAAAACAACTATTAAATAAATTCAAACTTTACATAAAATTGGAATATACATACTATTAACTGTATTTAACCAGTTGATTTTCCTACGACTACTAAAGTCTAATATATAAGAATTAAAGTTTTGGGCAAAAGAGGAATATTTTTCACAAAGAATTTACTTTACTTAAAAATTAAGAATAGTGATGTTCTTTCAAGTGTCAATTTTTAAATAGTAAATAAAATTATATCAAAATGTATAAATTAATAAATACTAATTATGTAACCTAAAATATACATTCAATTTAATTACATAGTGACCAAAAATGCAGAAAAAAACATCTAGAAATTCAGAAAATATCTTAATACCTAATTAACTTGTAAATTTATTTTTACTATTAATAAGAGCTTTTCACAAGTCTTTTAATAATTTTTTTATTGTTATTGTACTCAACTCCTTTAGAGTCTTTCCACCTGGCTTTGTTAACATTCTGAAATTGGCAGTGTCTATGTGAATGAAATAAATACAGCAAAAATGTTACAGGGTACAAAATTTACATAATACCTACACACTTATTTTTTTCCTAAGTTGGAATGGGGGATTTATAATGAAACATATATTTTAGGTTACATAATTAGTATTTATTAATTTATACATTAAATTCTTAATTTTTTATCTTCGTTTCTGCTGTACGCAGACAATTAGAGAAAGGGATTGTTAATGGCCAGATATCAATGCATGTATTACTGACATTATTTACACTGTATTTATATTAAACAATTTTACTATAAAACTGCATTGTAAATGAGAAAGGGAGCAATGGTCAAGAATTAAGCAATCAGAATCATTTATAAAAAAAAATCTTTCTAATGATTTTATAATTAAATTGCATAGATAAACAGAAAGGGAATTAAGGCAAATATAATTGACAAAATAGCATTAACTGTACAGTCCAAAAAATTATACAAAGACTGTTGACTATCAATTTTAATAAATGATTTGTTTTCTAAAATTGACATGTGCCTTTACTATAATAAACCAGAATAGCTTTCAGGGTTTAACATGATTGTCATAATAAGTTCTAATAAAAAAACTGCTCTTTCTATTAAAAATTCAACTTACCAAGTGTTAAATGATGACACATTCTGCTTTTGTTTCTCTTCTTTCTTGCTGCTTAATAATTTGTTTTTCTTCTGTTCCTCTTCTCTTTTCACTGAATATTCTTTCTTCAACAGCTCATCTTTTTTATTTTTCCATATTTCATAAAGCTACAAAAGTTAATGATGGAAGTCAAAAGAAATCGAGCATCTACAACAATAGTGTCTACTTACATCAGGTTTCATCTGATAACCTTGCCATTTTTACAGATTTAATTGCTTAATTTTTATTTTTTGCCAGAAGAGTAAATCCAACAAAGGGGAGGTAACTTTTCTTTTTTTTTTTTTTTTTTTTCAATGAACAAGTTATTTTATATTCCACAAGATCTTATGAGGAGACTTGAATTCACATTCTGAATGACATTGAATTTCTTCTGTTGATTAGTTTCAAAGTCAGTCCAACAGTCTGATTTTCCCATGTCACTGTTTTCACCTAATAGTAGATATAATAGTCTCGAGTTGTCTGATGAAAAGAAAACTAGTAAAATGAATAATAAACAATGATTTATTGAAGAAGTTTGGAAAATTTACCTTTACCATTTTTTAATACCGATGTTAAGACTAAAACATATGTTTAAAGACAGTTTGGTGAAAAGTTTTTACATCAGGTTGCACACTTATTGATGCACCCACCTCCCTCTCTCAGAATGATAAATATTTTAAAATTATGATATACATATAATGAATGTTCTCTCATTATATATTTGAGCAAAATGCCATATAAATATTGAATACAAATCTGTCATTCTCTTCTAATTTTTGTTACAGTCAACAAACCATTTTTACCTTCCAACAGCAAGGCTGATGCCAGCCTCCAGGAGAGCAACTCCTTGTGTCTTCTCAGTCTTGTGCTTTCCACAGACATGACATGAAACAATTATATTGAATCTATCACTAGGCCTAGCTGCTAGAAAAGTTGGCTCAGTATGTCATACTTTTTCTGTCAGAATCCATCTTTTACATTAGACTGTGCCGTGAATATTGTTGACATATCTGGTCTAGTGCTCCTGCTATATATGTATGTATATATATCTCAAGATTCTTAACCAAATCCAAAGAATCTAAAGCTATCACTTCTGACCTGGCATCTCAGCTTCAGTCACTATTTCATTGCAGTAACGTGGCTTCCCCGTGTCTTTTTTTATAAATACTTTCATAGCAATTGTTCTAATGAAATTTCCTCTTTGGTACCTTGACCTCATAAATTTAAGTGTAATACTATATTGGTAATTAGGTCACATCATTGTACTGTTGACACAGATGTAACTGTAAGTTCTATTCTAATAGTTTCTTCTCTCACCTGTGGAACTTTTCCAGCTTCTTGCTTCCCTGACAACTACGATCTTCAAAAATTTAAATGCAAACTCATTTGTCATCTGTCTTTTTGAATTCTGTTCTTTTAGTATACTTTTTACTCACCAATTTACTGTCAATAACCACTTTTATCTTAGTGGCATTATTGCCTTCCTTGGCGTGAAATGATTTTTAAAAACTATATAAATACAATGGAACTTTGACAATCCACCTGCAAAGATGTGGAGGGGGAGATCACATCAAAAGATGGCAACCCACCAACAATTTTATTCAATAAGACATAACTACATAGGCTAAATTTATTTTTGCTCTCATGACCCTAGAGTGTATGATTGTTAACCTATTTGTATTTTTTATCTGAATTTAGTATGTAAAATTTAGAAATTTTTCTCCATTTAATAAGTATAAAGTCAATTTGATGCTTTATGAATGTAGCAAAAGAAGCAATAAAATCAACTTGTCAAACCTTTGCTGCTTGTTGTTTTTTCTCCAGTGTTTCTTGTAGTTTTTCAATTTCTTTTTCTTTCTTTGTCTTTTCTGTTGTCAATTTCTGCTTCAATATTGGTTTTTTCTGTTTCTTCCAGCTTTCAAAAGAAGCAGCAGCATCTTTTTTCTTATCTTCTAATTCCTTAAAGAATTCAACAAAAATTAGCTTTCAGAAATGACAAGAACATTAGTGCAACAAAAATGTTTTCACAATTTTCATTTAAAACATTTCTCCAACTTGAAAATGAATATTGATTTAAACACAAACTTAAAGATATTTTTTTTTTCCTCCATATAAAGAAAAATAAAAAAACAAAAACAACAGGGCTATTGGAAGACAATGACAACAGTCCCTGTAAATTAAATAAAATGTTTTGGTCAAATTCTGTATAGCCCACCTTGGACAAGTAATATACAGAATGCTCTCCAAAAGTTTGAACAACACATGCAAAATGACTTTTACACTACCATTTATGAGCAGTAACAGCAGACAAGGATCTACTTTGAAGGAGAATGTGGAAACCTAAAGTGTTAAGGTAAGTACATTTTCTATTTGTGGTCAAATTATCTGAATTTTGGTTAATACATTGTATGTTCAAAATTAAGTACTTATATAATTCACCAAATGAATGTTAACTGCTACAAAATATCACGCCTATTATTATTTCTGTTGATAGAAATCGTAATACATTTGTTGTTGCCAGCCATAATGGTTGCTTGTTTCCAAGTACACCTATTACCTGGCTAGCTAACCCCTGTTGCAGATGCCCTCTCAGATATGTTTGTGTTTCTTCAACACCCACAGAGCAGATGCTAAAATGTCTGGGAGAGAATATATTATCTGATATGATCAATAGTTGAACAACACAAGTACACTCAGGGCTTACTGCTAACAGCTCTGTCTACCCAGTTTCACTTATAAGGCTTAAGTCAGCCAAGTGAGGTATGATGGGATTGTCTCCCCCAGGCCAATATCAAGAAGTTGCCTTCCTGACAAATTCACCATGTAAGAAAGAGTTTATTTCCCAAAAGTAAATTCATAAAGTTATGACTAAAAATTGCCTTAGCTAATAATTTGAAAAGAAGCTACTAACTTTTTGCTTTTTTTCTTCATCTTCAATTTTCTTTTTCTTATGTTCTTTCATTAGTTTATTCTTTTGGGTCTTCCATTCTTCAAAAATCTCCTCCCTCAGTAGTTTTGTATCCAACATCTCTGCAGACTTGTTTTCAAGATTCTTTGCTATCATTCTGGAAGTTGGTTTTGGTTTCAAAATTCTTTTGCTTGAACTACAAACAATCAATAAAAGCACAAATTATGGAGAGGAGAAAACAAATTTATAAAATTGTTCATAATATTGCTATAAAAAAAATTATTAGTATTTTACTATTCTCTGCCAGGTTTACTTGCCAAAGACACTACACTTTCCGGCTTTCAATCAAGATATATGGAGGAATCTGGTCAGGTGCTCAGCTGCTCAACAACCTTATAACCAAATCCAGTCATGGGGCTACTACCACTGCTATTACTACTACTACTATACTACCGATGATGATAATGACAACAATCTCTTTAATGCTTTTTTTTATAAAAAAAAATCAAAAAATCAAAGGAACTAACAAATTGAGAGTTTAGATTATGACTTTCAAATTATTTTACACTTTACATAAACAATGGCATATAATTTTTTCTGGTGATGTGTCCATTGGTGAAACATGTCAAAGTAGAAATTTTCCAAATTGTCTTATGCATTTATTATATAATGTCTGTTGGATTGTAAAGCACAAAACATGTTTAATACAGGAAAGTTTGACAATCAGGATTGCTGCTCAGAGAAATTAGAAGGCATGATATAACATAAATGATAATCTCTATGTCTATTCAGGATGTAGATAAATCATTTGTCTAAAATGGCCAAAAACTGTTTCCAGCCAAACAAAACTGTTATTAACCATTAGATGACTTGCAACCTCACGCTAATGACTATAACAGCAGTTTCTATAGAAAGATCTTTTGCTTATTTATGAAGCAAAAATAGTGGTAGAATTAATTTGGTTCTAATTAAGATTCATTAATTGAAAATAATGAAAGTGGTAAGATTTTACAAGTACAAGATAAGTACCTTAGAAGAGAGAATTTACATTAAAATAAATACAAGGACTGATCAAAAAGTATCAGGACTGTTGCTATGATAACAGAGCGAAAGTACACAGAGTGAAGTTGCTTGGCACAGATTGACCTTGAACTCTGTCACGTATACACAATAAGTTATAATGTTCTTGTTCACTTCAGTTGTTTAAAGAAATGCTTGGAAGGAAAGTGGTCATCTCACTACATCACAGAGGTTCCATCAGTGACCATGGCTTGTGCTGCAGTTCCCATGCACAACATTCCTCAGGTTTGACATTCACTATATTCTCCAGATCTCACCCCTTGTGACTTTTTCCTCTTCAAAATCCCATCAAATCCCACTTGAAAGGAACATGACTTCAAGACATCAAGGGAATCTAAGAAAATGTGATATGGCAGCTGCTCGCTATCTCAAAAAGGAGTTCCAGGAATATTTCCATCAATGGAAATGAAGCTGGATAAAGTGCTTGGTTTCAGAAGGGATTACTTTGAAGGAGATTAAATGCTGAATTGATATTTACTATAGTTTTCTTTTTATAGCACCAGTGCCAATACTTTTTGATAAGTCCTTGTATACACTCATTGTTTTAAATATATTACACATCATGGGGTCTTCGAGTGCTAGCAAGGCTGAATTGGAAAAGTCAAAGGATATGAACAGGTAAAGACAGGGATAGAAGTTAATAATAGTCATTATTTGATTGGTTGGCCAATCATAGTACAGTTAGTCCCAGGTGTTTTTTGGAGAAGAAAAATTAATTTTATCAGAATTGAGTTTTTGGGCCACGATGTGTAAAGATCTAATAAAAGATTTTGGTTCCCAGCCCTGGTTAATCACCAGAGGTTTTTGGTATTGCCCCCATTGGGCAGGAGACAGGAAATTTTGGTTGTACTTCACAATTTCAAAGTCAGTTTTTAACTATGTAATAAATCTATTATTTTTACATAGAAATATGTTATGTAGTCTTCTTGCCACCACAACATGATGAGAGAAAGTTGCAAACTCCAACTCTGGCCATCACTCTCAACAACAACTATTATTAATATAGTCAGCACTCCATCCATCGCATGATGCCACACTTATTACTATGACCAGAATCTGAATTGGTGTTTATCAAGTCCTGAGGTGAATCCCACTTCACCAATCTTTATATTGTTACATCTGATTGCTATTGACAAGGATAAGTTCAACCAAGTGATAAACTAATGAACCCCTGACTAGTCAATTTGTTGTATTTGTTGTCTTGTACCAGGAAAGAGAAAATCCCATGAGTTCAAATCATCATTCACCACTGTTTATATCATTATAATGACACATTCCAAATTTATTTACTGCAAAATCCCACTGATGGCAAATTTAATAATTGGATAAAGATTTATTATAGCATGAACCAATTTCTCTATTGAATTAATGAGTAACACATACCCTATAAAGACAAAGTTATAAATGATTTCCTTTGTATTCATAGTTGCACACATTAAAAAAATATCATGTGATAGTCAGTACCTAAGGTTATTAGTAATTATAAATAATAATAAAGATTACAGCAGTAATATTAATTGCAGTGAGAAGACAACTTGCCTGTTAGGGATTTTATCAATTTCTTGTGAGAAAAGTTGTGTGTGTGATTTCTGGAAATCCTCCACCCGCTTGATTGCTTCCTCATAAACCTGTCTCTCGGTCTTCACTTTGCCATTCTCAGGTGTCCTTGAGTAAATAGGAAAAAGGGAGTTAACTAGGTAACAATTAAGACCAGTCAAAGATGGAAGCCGATGAGAGATGAAAAAGCAATATACAAAAGATAATTTAATCTTATTTCTCTGCCACAGACAAGATATCTTTTCTTAAAAGACTAGTTTATTCTCTTCTATAAAATGGCAGCATCTCCTTGTACAAATGAAAGAAACTTTGGTGATATGTCAACTGGCTTTCTGCTTTGTGTGTAAATCATTGTTTTGAAATATTTAATACATGTTTAAATTATAAAAAAAATTTTCACATTATTATTGTTGTGTGTAATAGTTAATTTGCATGAAAATAAAACCATTTTAAAAACAATGATGACTTACTATTTTCATTCTTTTTTTTACAAGAAAAACCTGTATAAGATGATGATTGCTCAGTAATTTCAAAAGACCAAGAATATAGTTTTTCTATACTGAAATAAAGAGGTTTAGGCTTATGTTACATGACTGACATAAATATGTTGAACATAGAGTTAGGGTTTAAGTATAATACAGTGAAGTTAAAAAAAAGTGTTTATGCATGATGCAGCAAATTTTGAGATGAGATTTTATAGATGATATGGTGAAATTAGAGGCAAAGTTTATGAATGGTAGGCTGAGTATAAAGTTAAACTTTTAGTGAAGTTAGTCTAAGGGTTTATGGAAGATATAGTCTTCTTATTGAACAATTACACCACACCCATCCAATGATGCACACAGAGACTTGTCTGGGATGTTACGGTTACATGGTTGTTAAGTGTGCATGGATCTTCAAGGTTGGGGCAAATTAGAAAATGTTCCATAGTTTGTTATTGCCTGCATTGGCAGTTGGGATCAACAACAGTGGAGTTATCCCCCTTTCTGAAGATTAGCTCTCCAGTGACCGACAGCTGTTTGTTCAGAGGCGATTTAAGCAGGACCAGAAGTGCCAGACATCATTGGAGCCGGCGGGTGGTATTCTGTAGGGCTGAGAGAGAGAGAGAGAGTTGTTACAGTGGCTGCATCACAGGGACAGATGCTGACTAGCTGCTATGATCAGTGGTACAGCTGAGTGTAAAAACCTGGGTCTTGACTTGAGCCTCTTTGTTCACAGCCATGGAGTGGATCATGAGGGTCAATTTCCAGCTTCAACTTCTTGAGTTGGGAGTGGACTGTCCTTATGAAAGTGGGAGCAATGCCACTAAGATAATATAGTGAAACTAGTGTTTAGGTTTTGCTTTTCATGAAAACTGTTATGCTTAATGGGGGAAATTAAAGCAATGAAGGTAAAGTTACAACCTGTGCTGGGTCATTCAACAACAGGTATTCGCTTTATTTTTTGTTTTAATCCAGAGGTAAACAAAGATTTTATGTGATTAAAGAGTTTTAATGTTAGCTTTTATTCATTAATTGCCATAAAGAATATTTGGACAATGTTTTAAAATATTTTATATGTATAGATCTAGTACTAATAATTCTCAGTCAACAAATATCTAGTCATATACTTATAGGGGCCTCAAACTCAAAGATACAAAAGGGTTATTATGTGCTGAGGAAGAGGTGCAGGGTACCATGGACACCATGGTTGGGTTCCCAACCATTGGTTCCAGTGTATGCCAGATGTTTGTGTTTATTAAGTACAATTTTAAAGAAAGTAAAATTTATGTTTAATTTCTAAAATTGGGACAATTGGCAACTCCTATTTACCTCTATCACAAAATACAAATATTTCCACTATTTTGAAAAGTTCGGTTCTCCATGGCAATTTTCCTTTTCTCTGATATTCTTGAGATTTTTCATTTTTTGTTTAAATTATGTAATTGATCAAAGTAATGTTTTTCTTCCTTGAAAATTTAAATTTATTTACCAATCTTTTCTCAAACCTCTATTTAATATGACTTTCTATTGTTTGCATAGGTTGTATTTTACTACATGTATTCCCTCCACCTCAATGAGATCAGATGTGTTCCCCTCATTATGAAAAAACATCCTCATTTTCTTTTGTGTATATACACCCTGTGACATGGTAGGAGGAGAGGAAGGCAAAGCGAGGTTGATTATGTACACAGACCGGGCCAGCTGAATGATTCTAAATTTCTGTTTCTCAGCCACTTCTGATCAATGCTGAGGTGGAACCTGAATAAAATATCAGCGACAATGAAAAGTAGAGAGAATAGCAGGAGGAGTCACAAGATGTTCGAAACAGCAAACAGGGAAAAAGGAACACACGTGCCAAAAAGGGAGTCGGCACCTGTTGTAAAAAATGGATGACAATATGCAATGTCCTAGACAAGCCCCCAAACTTGTCACATGACCACAACACCTTCCAGCCTAGGGAGAAAGATTTCCTCACCAAGGATTGAGGCAATTGGGGGGACACTGAATTTCAGTACACATTAACAATATTATATATAAAAAGAAAAGGAAACATAAGATAATGAGTTTGTCTGACAAGTCAAAACTCATTAAGTAACGACACAAACAACAAGACAAACACTGGGGAAGCTTATATAAAATTTTATATAACAACAAATAAGTTAACTGCAAAAACAACAACAGAACAAAAGAATGACTAAGAAAATATATACAGTAATCAGGGATTGATAGTGTTCAAAGCCAAAAAATGAATGGGGTTGAATCAATGAAGTTCCTCTCTTTCCTTTGTGGAATGGTGTATGCAAACTTTGGTGGGGTTATGGAGTGTTTATCATTGAAGGTGGAGCAAACAGTACTTATCTTGATTTTTCATATTATTATTATTGGAATCTCTCCCCCCTTTTTTTTATATATATCTCTTCTGTTCTTTTCAATTTTGTTTTTATTCAATTTTTATATTCTCCTCTCACTTTGAGATCAGTTTTTCTGTCTGTCTCTTTCCTTGATTTTTCTTTGTTTGTATTTCCACCGCGTGCCTCTTGGCATGTTATCACATAATCCATGTAAACACATGCAAGTAATGTCAGAGACCTTGCCATCTATTTTGACCCCCCCATCAATCACATGAAACAATAGACTCTCTGAAAATATCAGCCTTAACTAAATGCACATGTTTTTTCTGTAGGGACAAGAGACAGGCAAGGTCTTCATGGAGGCTCTAAGCCATCCATTAAAGTTTGTGGCCTAGCAGCTATGAAAATGCTGTACCTAGCTCTCAATCTCTTCGCAGTCTCCTCTGAGAACAATAAAAAAATGAGAAGTAATCGACTATTCCCAAACTATAAACCAGTTTACTTGGGTGGATTCTAACCCTCTGCCAAGAATAGAAAATATGACAGAGTGTACCCCCTGCCACTGCAGATGACAAACATCTTTTTTCTTTTCTTCTGTTCACAAGACACTAGCTCCGCTGGCTTGGTTGCGTAATACTGACCTTACAGTCAATTGGCTTTCTTTTCCCTCTTCAATTGGAGCCGGTGTGTCATCTTAGTAGGGTTGTTTCGGGCTTCCCAAAATCTTACAATATTGGGACTGACAGCGAAGTCTAGTGTGAACCCCTTATATAAATTGTGCACTATGGACAGAACTGCACAACCCTGTTGAAAATTACACAACACACTCCATAGCTGTGATAAACTTACGTCTCTTTCATCTGGGAACTCGTTAGAACTCAGGCTGGAAAAAGAACTCCTTCAATGAAATGCTCAACACTGTTCATAACTCTAACAACAGGTTTATTAAATATAAAGAAAACTGGTTGAATAAAATGTCTATTAGCTACTGCAAATCAAAATACTCTACTGCAGGAATGGTGATTTAAAGATTCTGGTTATAGCTATTAAAGTATTGTCCAGTCAACTCTTTGGTTATGTGTGGGAGATTTCTATTAATAACTGCTCAGGTAATGCCCTGCTTGTCAACACTTCTTAATTGTTCTGTCATAGGAAAATTATAATCACCCCAGTAAAGGCCTGCTTGTCGACATTCTCAATTCTTCTGTCATAGGTGTGTGTCAGTGTTTTTGTACTGGTCCAGAAATTGTGGGTGTGATCTTTAATGATGACTGATAATTCCAAGCCCACAGTAAAATGTGGAACATTTCCCCACGTCAGATGTCTACTCCATGCTCAGAGAAGAAATCACTCTCAGTGAACGTGCACTTGACATATATAGAGGAATCTTTCCTGATAACAATGATTGATGGCTTCCTTTATCTACACAAAGACGGTAGACAATGGCAATTCCCAAATTTCACTGTCTTTGTCTCCTGTAAGCCAAAGTCTGGTTTGTCTCATTTGTGCCAAAAATCCCAAAATTTCTGACAAATGTCACAGAAATTAAAATAAATGAACTTCCCCCAATCTTAGGCATGAATCTTTTATTTTGTATGGATATTTTCTTCTGGGTGGCTGACACAACCCCTTTACACAAACCAGATATTTTCCCGGCTCTTTGTCCAGATCATTTTAGATGTTATTTTGGTGACCACCTACTTTCCTTACCAATAAGGTATTATAAACAATGTATGTTTTTCTACTTTCCCAGGACTGACATCTCTGACAATACATTGTCTCTTTCTTATTTAGCAGGAAGTGGGGAAGGATTGAGGATATTGGTTTTGCTCAATCTTACTGAATTCTGTCTAGTTAAATTTGGGTTTGTTTCTCCTTAGAATTGTTCTTGGTTTCATTTTATTATTTTAAAACATAATTTTTAACACATTTTGTTTTTAATTTTCTTCTCACTTTTCAATCCATTTTTTTGAGAATTTCAACAATCATCATTCAGTTAGTGGTCTCTCTAAATCACCAACTTGCAATTTCATGCATTTAAAAGTTCAAACAGGGCCACTGCCCTGTTACAAGAGAAAATAGCCAAAAATGACCTATATTGTACTCTGGACCTTAAAAGTGCCTACCATCAGGTAGTTATAAGGACCAGCAATAAACCCTATACAACATTTGAGGCCAGTGGCAAACTCTATCAGTTTCATAGATTACTGTTTGGAACCCTTGAGCTCTGGTCCCTTGAGTGGCAATGAACAGGTTTCACAGAAGAGAGCACACCCACCTACTAATAATTCAGAGGACAAGCAAGCAACTCATATGGAAATGCAGCAGGATTAAATCCAGTTCTAGCAAGAAAGAGGAAGAACATCATCATGCTCCTAGCAATCTACCATGGACTCGCAGACAGCAAAGGATGCCTACTTGATTCAAGGACTTTCTTCTCTCTGTAGGAATAAGGCAAGGGAGAATGTGGTATGATCTGTTTCCCCCATTAATGGATCTGTCCTGATCACATATAGTCAGGCAAACTCAGGTGCTATGCAGAGTTAATTAAAGCTTACTGATAAGCTAATTCTTATTGTCTCAAACAATTTTACTTCAGTGGGGAGGTCAAGTTTTCTTCTCTTCTTTGGATAGGAACCGAAACAGACCCCACTAATCTGAAAACTGATTGACTGTCTGCTTGCAATTAGTGGGAAGGTCAAGTTCAATATTGCTAATGCAAAAGTATGGAAGAGGCAAGGGACAAATTTATTAAACTTATTACCATTTGAGGAAAATATTATGACAAAAATGTTTCTTCATATGCTCTGTGTTTAAGAACCATGGTTGTGATCCACTTCCTTTGTGAAAGATTGACAGAAGTACCAAAGTTTGAAATATAAACATACAAGATAATTAATGCCAAACAGATGCTGTAAAAGATGCAATGAAATATAAGTTTTCAAACAATGTATTAAGATTCAATAAAGTTGAGATCTAGAATCCATAACTAAAATAGAATAAATAAATAAAACTGTTTAATTAATCTGCTCACTTTATATTTTTTTAGATGGTCAATGGTATCTATGATTCATTGATTACATTTGGCATTATATATATAATTCCCATGTTACTCAATATCTTTTAATGTTAAAAATTTTATGTGCTTAATATATCAGGAAATAAATGGAAAACATCTCTTGAAAGAAAAAGAAGTTCAGCGACAGAATGACAAAGATGGTGATGACAAAACCTATCCTCAGATCAATTTGAAGCAAGATGACCACTTAATATACAAAGGTATCAAAGTGCCTCACAAGAAAGGATTGAAAAAATAGGACTGCAGTTTAAGAAGTGTAGTAGTATGGGACCAGATTAATTCATTTTGCTTAGGAACTAATTTTGTCTAAATAAAAGATATAAATACTTTATTTGTATAGATCATTAAAATGATAAAGGAAAGTAATCATAAATTTACTACCTTAATTCACTTAAATAGGATGAGAACATCTGAATTTATACTTTTTTATCTTGAGAACTGACAAGAAAAATGTTAACACTATTTATTAGACTGTTTCTTTAAAAGAATAGTGTTTAATACTTTTTTAGTCAATTCTTGAGAATATTTGAGTTTTAAAAAATCTAAAAATTGCTGAGGGAATATATAGCAATAGTAGTGTCAAGAGAAAAACTGTCCTTATGACAGTCTTTTTGCAGGTACATTTGTTAATCATTGCCAAAATATCAATCTAAGAGTCAAGGAAAGCAAATAAATCAATTTTTGAAACAACTTACTGTTGGCTTTTATGCTTTCTAGGAGTTGGTGTTGGTCGTGACTCTGTTGGTGATTCTTCACAAAGAGAACTGGTATCCTTATCAAAGACACCACCATCAACACTTAGATCTATTACAGAAGGTGAAAACTGTTCCTGGTTTTCCAAAGATCTTTGTTGGAGTATTTGGGTTTTTGGTTCAACAATATCCTCAGTAAGAAAGTCAAATACGGAACTCTTTTTAGGTGATATTACTTGGGTGGGAAAATTCAATTTAGACTTGTCTTCACTCTCATCAATTTTATTTTGCATTTGTAGAGACCCTCTTCTGGAAAATGAAGTTTTTATATCATCTGACTTACTTTCAGTAGACTCTTTATTGACTGAAAAAGTCTTATTGGCTGTGTTGTCTTTTTGAATGGGTTGTCTATCCAGAGAATCAGATTTTTCTTGTCTTTTTTTCTTTATTTTTTTCTCATCCAACCCCAGATCATTTTTGCTTTTATCTTTTGTGTTTTCAGAATGTTTATTTCCCAATGTGTGCACCGATTTCATTACTTCCCTTTCACTTATAGAAATGTCATTGTTTTTTAAAGTTTTGATGGACTCAGCTTTTTTCATGTCAAGTGTTCTTGGAGAATTCTTTCCAGAACTCAAGTTTAGGTTATCCTGGAGTACGGGTGATGGAGTGCTTGCTTTGGAAGCATGTCGTCGAATACGAGCTGAAGACAATCCATTGTTTTGGGGATCAGAATCATTATTTATAACACTGGTAACATTTTCATCTGCCTGGAATTGTTGTGACTGGAGATATCGGGGTGAAGTGAGGGATTTCTTACGAACTGATGGAACTGGTCTGTAAAAGAAAAAAATGTTAATAATCTAATGACTTGTTCCCATCAAAAAGTTGAAAATGGGAATCGTAATATTTTATAATTATTTCTATCTGGGCAGTAAGATAATCATGTTAGAATAGTTTAAGTGCCTTTTTCGCCCATTTTATCAGTAATCATGATAAGTCAGTGACAAGACCTTTTTCTTGTCAGGATATCTAGAGATGAAACAAAGCATAAGGATGTGCAGTCATATGTTTCTTATTTATTAGGATAAATTGAACACGATCTGAAAAGATGACATACTATTTTCCACATATTAACATAAAAATTGTGCACTTTTCCACTTTGTGTCTGCTAAATTGATTAACTCAAATTCATTAAGCATTATTCCTTGCAGTAAGAAGAACATTTACACATGTCAATACTGAAGGCTCCAATTTATAGATTAAGATAGATTACTAAATCATGTTGAGTTGCCAATCCGTGAAAATTATAAATATTTTTATTTAAAAAAAAAAAAAAAAAAAGCAAAATGAATAAATGACTAGTTATGGACATAAGAAATTTTTTAGTTAATAAAACATCACTTAAGTTCAAATATCAGTTGAATATTGTGTGAAACTTGAAAAAGAAAAGGGTAAACATCTTAAGACACAATGATATAAGATATATACTGAATCAGCGAATATAAAATGCCTGTTAATGTGAAATAAGAGTGAGTGTTGCTGATGATCAAAAGATCAGCAAAATAAAAAGAATGCAATTTAATGATAGGTAGATCAATATCTTGTCCTTTCTTAGATTTTTAGGTCTTCAGCATAAGATTTAATAAGAAGGGTTCATCACTTCCATGATTCATTTTATTAAAACAAAAATAAAGTAAATTTTGGTTTCATTAAATAGAAAAACCTACTTGTGTGTCTCCATGTATGAACAAAGACTCAAAAGATATGATTCAAGAGTTTTCCCTCATTCCATCAATAAGTTAGGGGTGGAAACACAGACATGTTCTGAATATAAAAAAATGACTTGCCTTACAACATCATTTGAAACTACTTGGGAGTTACTGATGCTGTGGTGCTGAATCTCCAAAAGATAGACCAATCAAGAAATGATAGGAATTAAGACTGAGAGACTGTTAGCAGAAAGAGAAGGTCAGCCAAAGAGTAGCTATTCTGGACACAAAATGGTGTAGGCCTTCTCCAACTAGCAGGTAATTAGAAGCTCTTTTTGTTCATAAACATTGAACAGCTTCTTCTTGTTTTCCTCGAGATTAAATTGCATTCAGTTTTTTTTTTTACAAGGTATGTGTGGAAAGTATCCAGCCATTTTGAATATCTTGAGAAATATTTGCAGAAATATAATTGATGCCATCAGAAGAAACCTGTCTGTAGAGGTATAAACAAATTCTCCCTCTGTCATAGAATTTCTGAGATGGAAAAAATATAAGAAATGAGTGAACTTGTGAACTATGTGACCATCGCATACATGATGACTGAGTAAGTAGTTTAGTAAAGTTGTGTGCATAGGTTTTTAGCTAAACACCACTTCACCCAGATCTGCCAGCCTCCCCACAATCCAAAATTAGCTCCTTCTGTCTATAACCATTAAATGGATGGAGATTTCAGCTTGTTAACAAGATTAAGGAGAATGCAGTGAGGTAGCTGATGACAATCCTGAAAGGGGAATTTGCAGAGAGTTTTGAAAAGTGAAAGTGGTGCTTGGTTAAATGTGTAAAGGGCTAAGGAGACTTGGTTCAAAGGACTAAAGTAACATTTGCCCTAAGCAGGCTAATTTCATTGATATTAAATAAATGGATAGTTTTTTAGAAAAACCTTGTATATAAAAGTATATAAAGTCTTGTTTGTAGAACTGTACATGGCATTCTTTGCTCTTTTGATATTACTATTTATTTTCTTTTGATACACACAGATGCACTGTAGCAAGATTAAATAAGGAACAAATGGGAAAACCTTTATAGATTTGACATGTTTCCCAATTTTAGCTTCATCAGAAATTTCTGGGGAACTTTTTAGGAAGACATATATATGGTTTTTAAAGGTTAAAATCCTTTTGTGCCAGCCCCACTATATCTTTCCAATTAAGCAATTGTGAGATGAAAAAGATCTTTCAGGCCTTCAGTCATGGTACCAACATTCATACTCTGGCTTCCATCTTCAAAGTCCATTCAAGAACCATCAAGAGAATGGTGAATAAGTTTAAAAAAGAGGGAACAATAGAGAGAAAAACTGAATCAGGAGATCACAACAGCAAGAGGAATCTTTATTTCAACTTAGAGCTAAATACATTCTTATTGTTCAAAGTAGAGTCCAATAGTGTTATAAAAATCTTGGAAAAAACCAGTAAGATATCTTTAATCATTTCTAAGATATAACAGTTCAAAGCTTAATCTTACAATTGGACAATTTTTCTGTTACACTCGATAGATAGATAGCTAGATAGATAGACACAAACAAATTTATTAAATTCATCTAACAATTTCTGCCTGTTTAAGTTTTATTATATTGTTCCATTTTTCAAATAAATGCTGCACATCCGGATCAATATTGTAAATAAGTTGTCCAAGATTCATGTTTTTGTTCTGTTTTTACTTTAAGTGCTCTCTCTCTCTCTTTCCCTCTCTCTCATAAGTTGATCTGTCATTTATTGTAACTTAGAGCAATTCATGCACATAACACTCATCACATTACAAACATAAGGAATAAAACAAGCACTAGTAGACAAGTACCAAAATACTATACATCACTCACTGTAAAGAATAACTCAAAATAATCAAAGTTATGATACAAAGGAAACAACCTACACTAAATAAAACATCTTTCACCACAGGGCATGATGTTTTAAAATGTGTATAAAAATATTTAAAATGCATATAAATATTTCAAATTGACATGAAATATTTAATAATACATTCATCTTCCAATGCTGTCAAGCAGAGTGAAACCATTCTGTACATATGTCACTTATATGATACACATATATTTAAAGTTGAAATGTAGTGTTCCAAAATATACCAGCATGTAGCAAACAAAGCTTTTAGCTATAATAATGTCAACATTTAGTTCTTGATAATGACTGAGATGATACAAAGCACTCAAACAAAAACATCAACTTTGGAAATTTTGATCTAAATATACAACAAATTATTCAAAAATTGGAAAAATACAATACAAAATTAAATGGACAAAACTTGCTGGTTGAATTTAATAAAACTTGTTTAAATAAATTCTTGTTGGCTATATGTATAGATAGACTGACAGACATTGTGTTTTTATGTGTGGGCTATTTTCAATGTCTTGACCAAGATGTTAGCTGTTAGTGTCATTAATACTGCTTGTAATATTTGGCTACAAAGGAAAATGTCAAGCTCTTGGGTCTCCTTAAACCAATTTGGTTTTTCAATTCAATGAAAAATTCATATCTAGTGTTGTAAAAACTTGGGATAGATTTAAATTAAAAAATATCTTTAAATGAATCAATCTAAAATCAATTTGATAAATATTTCAATTTGTTTAATTATTATTAATTTTTATTATTATTGTCATTCCTAGAATAACATTGCCATTTGACAAGCCATGAAAAAGACCAAAGATGGAGAGATGTTCATTAATGACATGATGAGATTCATTTACATTACTTACATGCTTACAATTAGAATAGCCTAGTGACTTAAAGTGCTGGTTTGTAAATTTGATGACATAGTAATTGTGAATTCAATCTCTGGGTCGGACAGTGCTAAAACATTGTGATAATAACAACAAAGATGAGGACAATAGTCTGCATGTATATAATGATAATTCCTCATACCAGAAATTCAGACAGAAAAAATGAGATTTACTAAATGACATGTAGATATTTCCATCACTTGGTACAAAAGAGTAATATGTTGTAAAGGAATCTACTTTGTGGTTGAAGTAGTTGCACCAATGCCCATGGTTAACCAGGCTATTCTAGCAATGTGACATTTTTATTATGGATAGATTAAAAAAAAACAAAAAAAAACAAAACTCAGGTTTTTCTACAGCACTAAATGTTGCTATTTCCATGGAAAGTGTTCAGACAAACTATATTCCTTAGTTTCACCAGTTCTAACCTTGATGGCTAAGACCTGCTAAGCCACACACATTGTAGTGGACCACTCTCATTCCCTTAGTATTCAATGGGTGAGATTAAGTTCCACTTGAGCAGCTCTTCTCACAAACCACTGCTATGTGGAACTAACTACCAAGAGGTCGCTTCATCAATCACTACAATGTTAACTATTATCTGCCCCATATACCCCATAAACTGTGCCTCTTACTCTGTAACCTCTACTTCAAGTGGCTCCCAGGCCTTGTACAGGGTGAACACCACTGTAAAAAAGAAAATTATAAACTTTGCACTGAATTTGAGAAATCAAATTGATCTGAAGAGACACAATATCTTGATATCTTCCTTTCTTTTCAAGTAAAAACCAAGATTTTTAGATGCTGATTTTTAAAGCTGGACTAACCCTCCCACCTACTGAAATGCTATTTAAAGATTAACATAAAATCAATTGATGTAAATCTTATTTTCTCCCATTTCCCTTTATGCAAAATTCAGATGTACTTTGTAACTTGGAAAGACTGATGTGTAATGTCTTTATTCTAAAGTCAAGACCAAAAAATAATGATTTTAATCATTTTTAGATAGGTTTTTTTTTTTTTTACCTGGGGGAATTGGTTTCATCTTGAATGCTTTTCTCTTCATTTTTCTCCCTGCTAACAGATTTCCCTTTTTTACTGCTCTTCAAAAATCTTTGTTCTGAAGAGGCAAGGGTTGCATTATAGGCATCATCAACTGATGGTAAAGACTGGTCAATCACAAAACCTGAAATGTTAATAGAATGTAACCATTGAAAACAGAGTATATTAAAAATTGCTAAAACATCACTGTTAAGAAGTGGAAAATCAAAGTTAGTAATAATTAAAATAGAGTATATAATTAAATAATATAAATATAATGGCTGCTGTTGATAGACTGTTGTAGAGGAGATTCAGTGTGGCTTCTGTATCGGATCCCCCTACAATTACAAAGATCAAGGTGGTGATGATGATGATGATGATGATGATGATATAATAAAATCATTCAATTTAAACTAATTACATTGTTTGAACTGTTGTCCTCATCTTTTTTGCCATATTTACAATGTTTCATCTGTTGTATGCTCTAATTTTCTTTTGGTAATATACACTGGAATTTTGAACTGATCGATGTTCTAATTCCATGTGTCATGCCTTTTCTGGATATCTCAGTATCAGTTAATTCACCTTCAAAATGTTGTGAATATGGCAATAAAGATGAGGACAACAGTCCGAACGATGTAAATAGTTATAATACCTCATCTCAGAAATATAAACAGATAAATATTTCAATAGTAATAATAATAAACACGAGGCATGGCATCTTAACTGACTGGAGGCATTAACATGTACATGTTTTGCCTTGGTGAATTGAAATGGGCTAAAGTAAATATCTCACTCAGTACTACAGATTTGCTTGTCAATTGCCCCTGACCTTAACCACTTGGTCATGTCCTCTAGAGGCTGATCCACTGTGCATCTTTGTTCATGAGCAGGTGTAGTGGGTAGCATCACTGCTGAGTGTCAAGAGGGTTGTTTTTTTTTCTTTTATATTAAGTTTGGAGGATGAGTCAGTCAAAGTAACTTGGGAGTTAGATCAGGTTACTTGGGAATACCCTCAACCAGAGACTGCCTAAGATGACTGGATTACCTGACCTGAAGATATTTCTAACTGTAAGATTATGCACTATTTTTATCAAAACCTGTCATCATATTTCACATATTTGGCTGTGATGCATGTGCCTGGTATACTCTTTTCAGACTGGGTGTCATGATGGATATATTGAGCTTTGTATTATTTGTATCTTGTTGCAAGTTTCAATACTTTTGGTGAGATTTTTATGCTCGTGATACATTTGATCTGCAAACAATTTTTTGCTGGACTCATGTGAGTTCAAATGAAAAATAAGACATAGAATTTAAACCAAGAAATTTTAATAAATATATTGACAGGACATTTTACAGAAGGAAAAATGAGAAATTAAATTAAATATAAAGAATTTGAAGCAGCCTTCAGTGTCTGTAGTTGAGATACCTAAATTCTGGCAGGAGCGAAATAATACATCTTTTCGCTATGAAAAGTCACCAAGAAAGAGATGGATTCTTTCAAATCTTGTGCCACCTGTAATTATCGTCAGAGGGCAGTAATCCAACAACCTTAATGTCACTTTATTGGTGTGCTATTCTCTCACTCAATGATAATAATACATACATACATACATGCAAACATGAAATTATCTGAATTTTTTTGTTTCTCTGAAAAAAAAATAGCAATAGAAATGAAGACATGTATAAATTTTGAGCATTTTAAACAAATCAAAAATTTAAAAAATCCTACACAAATTTTTTTAAAACTTCATATATCATATATCAAGTAACATATTAATGAAGAATTTATTTTTCCTTTTAATTTTTAATAAATTATATTTATCATAAAGTTAGAAAAATAAGTGTGGATGTATAAACAGTTCCAATATTTCAGTATATGATGTTACATACCTATAATTATACCTATAATACTTAATAATATAATTATACCTTGTTGTGTCCATAAGAAAATACATAAATAAAAAATTAATTATAATGTCACTTTCTCATGTTCATAAAAAATAAATAAAAATTAATTATAGTGTCAAAAATAATTATAATAAAATAATTATAACAATTCACTCTTTCTAAACCAATGTGAATCAACCTTACTTTTCTCCTCTACACACACACACACACACAAACACATGACATCCTCACTATCAGGAAAGCAGTCAACATGTGGGTTGGCAAAAATTTCAGCACCTTTTCCTTTTCAGGTACAATGGTAACATTTGTCTCTTAACAATCAACAAACATTTGAGGTAAGAAAATTCCAGACACTTATTTTATTTTCCAACTAAATTACCTGGATACTCATTACACACATGTATAAAAAGATATGAGAAAGCTATATACAATTTACTCATTCTTTATCTTATCATTCTGTCAGATTCCAATCCATATCTGAGCTACATTTGATCCCAACTCACAGTTTTACTCAGCATTACTGTCTCTTGTGTATCCAACACAACATAACAACCAGATAATAAATAATACCTCTTTTGTTGTTTCCACATCTTGCTTTCTCTCATTTTTACAAGTATTTCTGTATATATAAATGTTAGAGGATGCATAATTATTTACTCCCCTACAACCTATAATAATACCTAACGATATAAGACCTAATAATATAATTATACCTATAATGTTCCAATAATAATAAAAGAATTCTAATAATAACTTCAAAACTTTCATCTCAAAAATAAGTATTTTTAAATTATTTCTTTTTTTTGAAAATGTAAGTTAAACCAGGGTCTGTTATATATAAAATTGAGGTGTTACAATTACTTTCCTTATTGTTTTTATAGTTGGAATATGGTTGATGGCAGAAAACATGTGAATGAGAAGTGTGTGAGTCGACAATATTTGGGAGTTCACTAAATAGGATTCAAGAGATGAAGAAAGGAAAGGAATGGTTAAACAAAAGAAGAGACTCCTTGGAATAAATATGAAGTGAATAAGTAGAAAAAGTAGTTGACAAAGAAAAACTTTGAGTGTCAATATGTTTTGCAGGTCAGTTTTGCAGGAAGGGCATCACAAAGTCAAGTCATTTAACTTATACTTTTTGGAGAAAGATAAAATTTACACAGCATTTAAAACATATTTCAAATTATTAATCTGCAAATTTTCAGCTTTTAAGCATGTATAGTTATTAAGTTATTAGAAATTTTATGCTCTTCAAGTAACACATTTTAAAATTAAACCAAGGATTTTTCTGTTAAATATTCAACTATTAGAGAATTTTAACATTTGTCCTCTAGTTTCATGAAATTTTTTAAAAAATAATATGATAATAAGAATATGCTGCATTCTGGAATAAAATAATTGTTTGTAAAATTATAATGAAATGTATTTTTGTTTTTATTATTGTGTGCACAATCAGTTGTTTTATCAGTGTGCTTTAATCAGCTAAAAGTCATACTTCTAAAAAGGTCATTCAAATCAAAGTTTTAATTTTGAAAAGACATAAATAATTTAAAACTTACTATATTTATAAGGGGTGAGTGCTCCATATCAAAGAGAGTGTTTATAGATACAGACAGTGTGGACATAGAAATCAACATTGCATGGTGATTGTCTGTTTCCTGTCTCAATGCAATCTTCAGTCAGAATGAGACAGACTGTGGAATGAAACCTGAGTCACCATGCAGTGTTGGTTCATATGTACACACACACACACACACATATATATGTAACCATTATTTGATGTTATTGTGGCCAACTCAAATTTCTCTTTTCAGATGTACTAATTCATTCAACTAATAAAAACATTAAAACTGCTGTCTATAAACATCTAACCAACTCAAACCCACATCAACTTAATTACAACAGTGAATGCCCATACAGATACAAAATAGCCATCATAAATAATCTAATAAATAGAGCACTTTTAATATCCTCTACATGCAGAATATTTCAAACAAACTAAAAAACATACAATAAATATTAATTATCAATAATTTCCCCAACCATAGAATTGATAAACAGATTTAACTAACCTCAGGAATAATACAAATTATTATTATTACTAATAAAAAAAAAATAATAATATAAAAATAACTATTCCACAGAAACCAACTATACAGTAACCATAAACAAAATGAAAGAAAAATATGAAACCTAATACAGAGATCCATAAAAAAATACAACGTAAACAAAGTCATCAATTATTAAAAAAAATTAAAAACTTCCAACATGAACATCACTAATGATACAGCAAAAAAAATGAAAACTTCAACAAACTATTGTTGTTTATGAATATGCTTGCCTACTTGGAAATGATTTCTAATAATCATTTAAAAAATTATTATTTTCACAACTACTACTTTATCACACTAATTAGCATGTCATTTATCTTATAATAGTTCAATGAAATCACATATTACCACCAGCCAATACAAGAAATCTGACAAATCTACCAATAATACAAAACTACTATACCACATAAACTGTAAAAACAACTACAAATATTAAAAGCATTAAGCATAGGAACAAACTAAACATGTTTCATTAATAAAAAGAACTGAAAGAAATGATATTTGAAAATGATGAAACCAAAATAGCACAAAAAAACAAACTTTCATAATGTGTTATGAAAGCCAAAAGTACTCAGACATTGGACAATTTATATTTAAATATGTACCAGAAACCAGGAAAATGGTCTAAAATACAAAAAAACTAAAGAACTTTCATTGGTTTTAAACCAAAGTTGTGTGTGTATAACAATTTTGAAAAATGGGATATTCTGATTTTTGCAAGTTTTCAATTCCCTGCTCAGATTCCTTTAAAATTGGACAGTTTACTCTTAAATTATATCAATTCAATATACAAATTTAACTGACAAAATGGGTTTTCTTTGAAATATTAAACTTTTAAAATTTGAAAATTGTTATAGCTAGTAACAAAAAGACAAAGTATTTAATAATGAACACAATTTAAAAGAACTGTATTAAGACATTAATACTTTGTTGTAGCACCTTTTGAATTTACTATTTCATTCATTGTAGTAATGAACCAATTAGCTTACAACAATCCCCCAGTGTCACTAATGACCACACTTCAGTAATGACTTGCTTGAATTCTTCAAGATTTGATAGATAGTATTTTCTTATTTCCGCTTGATGATTCTCCATATATTTTCTATTGGATTTGTATCTC